AAACTGGCCATCAACAAGTTTAGACTTGAAATTAGATGAAGGTTTCTAACCATCAGAGGTGTGAAATTCTGGAAAGGGCTTTCAAGGGGAGAAGTGGGGGTAAAACACACAGCTGGTGTGATAAATAAAAGGGACGGGGTGGCTCCCTTTTATGGGCACCCAGCCAGCCAGATAGATATCAAATTCCTCTTAGTAGTTGTTCTCTACTTGCTTTACCTGTAAAGGGTTAAAAAGTCTCCCTTCATAGGTAAAAGGAAGGGAGTGGGCACCTGGCCAGAAGAGCCAATAGGAAGGCTAGAACTTTTCAAAATGAGGAAAAAATCCTTCCCCTTGGTCTGTCTGTTGTTGTTCTCCAGGAGAAGCAGAGACAGAGCTGGAACTATGCTGTAAGAAGCTTGAAGCCAGGTATGAAAAATCATGTAAATTATACCTAGAAACTACTCACTTGAAACCCCCAGATATGTAAGTAGATCAGGAAATATCCAGGAAAACACGATTAGGTTTATTTTTTTATGTCTTGTGGACTCCTCTGTGCTAACCCCAAATGCTTTTGTTTTGCTTGTAACCTTTAACCTGGACTGCAGGAAGGTTATTCCTGATGCTTAATTTTTGTAAGTGGGTTTTTTAAATCTAGCAATAGCCTGAGTTTTTAAATGTGTTTTTTTTGTTTAATAAAATTTACCTTTTTTAAGAACAGCACTGGATTTTGTGTCCTAAGAAGTTTGTGCATGTTGTTTAATTAGCTGGTGGCAACAGATGATTTCCTTTGTTTTCTTTCTCCGCTCTTCCCTGGAGGGAGGGTGAAAGGGCTTGAGGGTACCCCATGGGAAGGAATTCCCAACTGTGCCTTCCTGGGTTCTCAAAGGGGTTTTTGCACTTGGGTGGGGGCAGCATCTACCCATCCAAGATCAGCGAAAAGCTGTGACCTTGGGAGTTTAATACAAGTCTGAAGTGGCCAGTGTTATTTTTTAGAATCCTTGCTGGCCCCCACCTTCTGCACTCGAAGTACCAGAGTGAGGAATCAGACTTGACAGCTGGCTTCAGGACCGAGCGTGATAAGTTTATGGAGGGTAGGGATGATGAGACTGCCTACTGTGGCGTGTAAGCAATCTGTAACTGGCAGCAGCAAAGCTCCAATGGCCAGTGATGGGGCACTAGATGGGGAGGGCTCTGAGTTTCTACAGAGAATTCTTTCCCAGGTATATGCCTGGCGGGTCTTGCCCACATGCTAAGGATCTAACTGATTGCCAGATTTGGGTTGGGGAAGGAATTTTCCTGCAGATGAGATTGGCAGAGACCCTGGGGATGTTTTGCCTTCCTTTGCAGCACGGGTCTCTTTCCAGTTTAATCTAGTGTAAATGGCGGATTTGCTGTAACCTGAAGTGTTTAAATCATGATCTTAGGCATGGGCAGCTGGTGGAGCCATGCTTTGGGAAGGTTGGCCCCTAGCTCAGCCCCTTCTGCCCACTCCCCTCCCCCACCCGGAGGAGCCCTGAGTCCCTCCCCCAGCTGGAGAAGCCTTGGGCGGGCGGGCTGGCTGGCTGGAGGCCTGAGACCCCCTCCCCTACCTGCCTGGAGGTGTCCCAAGCCCCCACTTGCTCAGAGGAGCCCCGAGCCAGCCATGCCACACCTCCCCTCCCCAGACCCCAAATGGCTGCAGGGAAAAGCGTCTTGGACTCGTCTCTTCCGGCAGAAGCTTTTGCTATGCCCCATGCAGCTTCCAGGGCAGCTGAGGAGGCAGTATTTGCTATTTAGTTTCCTGGGTTCATCCGTAATCTCTCTGGAGTCTAGGGAGATTACTGATGAACCTGGGAAGCTGAATAGCACATACAACCTTCTCAGCCACCCCAAAACCTGCATGGGGGCATAATAAAACAAAAACTTCCCCCCACTAAACCCCACAACCGGGTGTCCAGCAGCCACTCCAGGGGAGGCTGAGCCTTCCCATGCCTATTATACCCACCACCCATAATCTGAGGATTTCAGTAACTCAGCCAGAGGTGAGGGGGTCCATTACAGGAGTGGTGGGTGAGGTTCTGTGGCCTGCAGTGCTCATGAGGTGAGACTAGATGATCAAGATAGTCCCTTCTGGTATTAAAGTCTATGAGATCCTACACCAAAGACAATACTTGTAGCCAATCCTACAATAAACTATCCAAAAATGTATCAACTAAGAAAGATAAATGAGAGAGATTTATGGGGAAGGGGATGTGGGAAAGCAGTGCTCTCAATACCAGGGGGTGAGGGTTAATTTTCTACCCTGCTTAATCAGTCGCTCCAATACAAATGGGCTTCCATCCCCACAACTGAACCCAGATCACTGTGCTCTCAGCCAGGATCGGGGCACCTGCCCGGTTGGAATCCCCTGGGTGGGAAGAACACACCACCCCTTGTGCAAGGGGGTCCAGGATTGGGCTCAGTTCTCACCTCCTCCTGGTGCAGGTCTCCTGCTGGGGGAAGACCAGGCAGTGCCTCCTGCTGAGCCTGGCTGCTGCTGGGGGCTGTTGAGATCACAGGCACCATGGCGGGGTCAGCGCCCCCTGGCCAGAGTGTAGAGCCACCTCTCTGCCTGGTGCATCTTGCGCACCCTGCTCTGTCTGTTCCATGCACCTGCTCTACCTTCCCTGTAATGGCCCAGCCTGTAGCACCTGGTACACTTCCCAGAGCCTCTCTCCTGCCCCAGTACCTAGCTCCCTCTGCCCCAAATTGCCCCCTGGCTGCATGGTCACCTCCCTTCTCCCTGACACCTCACCTCTCTCCTTGCTGCCAGCACTGTGGGAGCCCCCCAGGAAGCCAAGGAGATGCTGATGCTGGTGGAAGCGCTGCCAGGGGGTGGCATCCCCATCCCCAAAGGACTTTCAGCCCAGGATGCAGGAGCTCAGCTTGCCCAAAGCAACTCCTCCCCCACCCTGCCCTGGACTATCACGCAAGGCGTAGGCGTATGTTTGGGGTGAGTGTTTGTGATGGGGTGTAGGTTGGGGAGTGCATGGGGTAATAAGCAGGGCTGGTCAGGATGAGGGGGTGCATGGGGGATAGGTGGGGCTGAGGGTGCATGTGCTGTGTGTGGGATGGGTTGGTGAATGGGGGAATCGGCAGGGTTGGGTCATTTGGGTGTATAGGATAGGGGATGTATCAGTGCTTAATTTGTGCCAGAACTTTCTGGAGCTGAGCCCCAGCACCTCTTTCATTAGAAATTAAGCACTTCTGGTCTGCCTTTTCACCTTGCTCTAGACCACAGAACAAATGTATATTTTCTTGGTGTGCGATGAAGCACATCCTCCATGTTTTCCCTGCCTGTCCTTCCTGAACAAACTATACCCCAGAGCCATCCCTAGGGGATTGCGAGTCGGGGTGACTGCTCCAGGCCCCGAGCTTTGCAGGGCCCTGTGGGCCGGCGTAATTGGCCGGTGCCACATGGGCGATGGGTGAACTGCTGGCTGGGGGAGGCTACTCCCAGCCCCGCCCCTTCCACCTGAGGGAGAGCGCGCCGGGAGGGAGAGCGTGCAGTGGTGCCATTGCAGCCTCCCCCACCCTGGGAAGTTGGGCGGCATGGCCCCAGCCCCAGTCCCCTGGAGCCCAGTGGCACAACTGAAGCAGGACCGAGGGGGAGGGGGAGAGAGCAGAGTGTGGATGGTGACATGTCTGGCTGTTTAGGGAGTCACCGCCTCCCCCAGCCTCCCTAACCCACCCCCGATGCAATCAGTCCTGGAATGACATCATTCCATGCCTGGCCCTGCCTCTACCAATATTCTAGTCATGAGATGTATCCCACCAAATCTCTGCAATGCCAGTGAAGTCATACATTTTCTTTGTGTACTAAGACTTCCAGTTCTTCCTGTTTATTCCCTATACTCCTAGCATTTGTACAGACACCTAAGATGTAGAACAGATTCCCCAGCCATTTTTCCTCTTGTTGTTCCTATGAGCCTATTGTAATTCTCCATTTTCCAGCTCTCTGGCAAGGTCACCTTTTTTTATACCCGTGAGTTTTTTTCACCTGGCCCCTTTGAACTTATTTCAAAGCCCTCCTCACCAGGTAGGAGATTTGGTATTCCAAGATGTTATTCTTCTTTGTCAGGTGGACCTCATCTCTTCCCAGCAATCCTTCTTCCTGGCACAACGTCCCATGCTTCAGGAAGCCAAAGTCTTCCTGTCAACACCATCTTCACAGCCATACATTCATACCAGGAGATATTTTTTTCCCCTTCCTGGGCCCCTTCCTTCAACCACAGGCTTGATGAGACCACCACTTGAATCCTTCACTTCTTCACCTTAGATCCCAGAGCCTAGTAATCGCTGCTTATCTCAGGGTCATGCCAGGCAATACCATTAGTCCCCAGGTAAATAAGCAGAATGGGGTAGCGATCAGAGGGCTGGATGAGACTCAGCAACCTTTCCATAACACCTCAGATGTGGGCTTCAGGCAAGCAGTACACCTCCCATGACATCACATCAGGCCACCAGATGTACACCTCTTTCCCTCTCAGAAGGGAGTCCTCAACCACCACCACCACCACCACTTGTCGTCTCCTCTTGGATATGGTAGCAGTGAGCCTCCCAGCCTGGGGGGCAGTTGGCTCCTCCTCCTCAGCTATTGGGGTCTGCTTCTCTCCTCCTGTTGCCAGTACAGCATAACAGTTCTTGACCTTGGTGGATGAAGGACCAGAGTGGGGGTGGAGCGCATCCCACTGCCTGAGGGTCCAGCTATCAGTCTCCTCCCTCCAGAGCAGCCCAAAGCAATATCCAATATTTCATTGGAAGACCAAGACTCAGAGGATCCACCAGACTCCTTGATATTTTGTTCAAATGATTAATAATCTCTGTTAAAAAAATGTATTTTATTTCTAATTATAATTTGACTGGTTTCAGTTTTCTACCATTGGCTTTGGGCCCAGCTTGTCAGGACGTTCCCTGTAGAACTGGTTTTTACTAGGTCAGGGACAAGGAAATGGGCAGCAGGTTCCCAGGAGCATCCATCAGGGCGATAGCCCTCCCAGTGTATAAGGTAATAGAATTGGCCTTGCTGCAGTTTGTAATCAAGAATAGCATGCACTATGCATTCCTCATGACCCTGTATCTTGACTGGTGGCAGACGCTGTTAGGCCTGGTCGAGGAACTGGTCCTATATATAAGGCTTCAAAATGATATGTGGAACACTGACTATATTTTGAGGGGCTTGGAGAGTTGAAGTTTGAAGGCGACAGCATTCATCTGCTGACATGTCCAAAAGGAGAGGAGGAATTGGTTATCCAGCTTGTGGGAAGGTCGATTTGTGTGTAAGTGTCTCACAACAATTGAGTTGAGTAACAAATAGTAGCAGTAGCAGGTTGTCCTCCTATATGAGGACCAGTGCCCTATAGACACACCACAGGTCATCCTCACTTTGCTCATTAGTCACATTTTGATTGGTTTGAAGATTGAGAGGCATGGAGAAGATGGCCTTGGAAATTCAAACTGATGTCTTGAGGCTCTACAATGATCTAGGACAGGAGGGTGCATAACTAGAAAGTAGCACTTGTGCTGAAAGTTTGTAAATTTTCATAAAAGTTATTTATAGTTGTCTCACAGTCCCCCCCCCCCGCCCTTTTTCTGTGTATCAGTGAATGTGGCAGCATATGAGAAAAGAGGTAAGTGAGGAAGTCCACAAGAATGAATGTTAGATCCAGAAATCATGATGTATAAACATTTATCTTATGTTTCACATTTGAAATTTCTTGGGTAAAGTGAAGGTTAACAAACACCAAAAGGTTGCACATTTATTAAAAATAAAGCAAAATTGTTTTTATTTACTCCTCCCCCCCCCACACACTTGTCAGGCTCCAAATTGTGTCAGACTATATTTTAAACATGTTTAAAATCTGGTCTGCCACTTGCTATCTGTTTGTTCAGAACCTAGCATTATAGGGCCTGCACCTGATTAAGATACCTAGGGGTCCCCTCAAGGTAAAAGGGGGTTGGGGATTATATGAATAACTAATACTGGAAAATATTTATTAAAACGTTTCCCAGTAATTAGACTTCAGATATAGCAAATGTACCTTGTATAACTGATTTTCTACTGAAAAGTTCCAGTCCTTTCTCCATGGGGAAAATCAAGTAGTATTCCAATAGAAATTAAAATAAGCCTATTGTGAAACTGACAGAGGTGAACAATGGGGCATTTAAGTATTTATGATTAAATACATATTTATTCCTGCTGTTTTGTTGTATGATGGTCTTTATTTCTTGGCTGTTATTAGTAAATATTGAACAGTAAAACAGGTTTTTATATCATTTTCAAGTTCTGCAACTTAAAAAAGAATGTCCATCAGATGGCAGTAAGGGATAAGAAATGAGAGAGTGAAATACATGCCACAGTTTAGCAGAACCCCTTCTGATTATTTTGATCTATAGTTTTCAAAGATCTGCAAATTCTTAAATAATTTGTACAGTGTAGCCTTTGAGTTGACACCTGCACGTACAGCATTGTCTTCTAAATACTGCACTCTGTTTTCATATAAGCAATTCAGAAGCCCCTTCTCAACATTAAGTAAATAAAATCTGCCTATCGGTTTAGATGAATGAGTCTCTTTCCTTGAAATGGCAAAGGGGTCTAGTTTTCTGAGCGACTAGAGATTTGTCTGCAGACTTTCAAACCAAGTCACACTACTTCCTGTATGTACTGCAAAAGGCATAGTAGTAATGAAATTCTTTCCCGAGTTTGAAAAGCCCGCGCAAGGATTGCCCAGTACCAACCCTCCTTTTTTACTTCTTCAGTGAGTTACCTAGACGCATGAGACCTCTATTCTCGTACATTTGAGAATAACCTATAAAGGAGAAGGTTGGATGGGAGCTTGAGAGCTGTAAACACTGACTTCCTGTTGCAAGTTGTGCCGTGGAAAAATGATAGTTATGCATCAAATTTTCCACATCATCTTCAGCCAAAGTTATTCTCTCCCCCTCCCGTACGTTTAGTGCGTGTGTGAACGGGACGTAATTTACACATCCCAATTTAACCCACCGCTAGGTTGAGGGCAAAATCCTGTCCCCGCTGATGTCAGTTAATTGTTTTGTTTGTTTGATTTTTGTTACGCTGGTTTTTGTAAGAGGAGGATTTCACCTTTTGAAGATAATCAAACCCTTTTTTGACTTTGTGGGTGGCTCTGAAAAGAGCCTTTAGGTTAGTTTTAAAGTCGAAGTGTTTATTTCTCAGTCAGCTTTACTTGCTCTTTGCCTTGTGGCTCTCGGTTTTCTTGGGCAGCAGCACGGCCTGGATATTGGGCAGGACACCCCCTTGAGCGATCGTGACTTTCCCCAGCAGCTTGTTGAGCTCCTCGTCGTTTCGGATGGCGAGCTGCAGGTGACGGGGGATGATCCTCGTTTTCTTGTTGTCCCGAGCAGCGTTGCCAGCCAGCTCCAAAATCTCAGCGGTCAGATACTCCAGCACCGCAGCCATATAGACCGGGGCGCCAGCCCCCACCCGCTCCGCATAATTGCCTTTGCGAAGCAAGCGGTGCACACGGCCCACCGGGAACTGCAGCCCAGCCCGCGAGGAGCGAGACTTTGCCTTAGCCCGCACCTTACCTCCCTGCTTTCCTCGGCCTGACATTTGCGATTCACGTTCTGTCTAAGACCCTTTACTCAGGAAAAGAAATGCAAAGTAAACCAAGGGACAGCCAGCAGCCGCCCTTATATTGCTGCCGTTTTCAGAGTCAAACGATTTGTGATAGGCTGGAGACTTGCCTTGTCTGAACAGCCAATGGGGAAGCGGATCTAACTGTGACCATTGGTGAAGCAGAATATGCCTGTTGGGAAGGGGGTGGCTTTTGTATCTCATCGAATTAAAAAATAAGAGGGGGGGGGGGGGGCTCGGCACCATTTTTCCACGTTGTTATTGCTGACTGAATATCAAGGGAGTTTTCTTTGTGTATTTACAGATTATAAATGTCTGCAACGGGTCTTGTACATTGGTGCTCAGTGACGTGACCACTCATTGAAGGTGCTCTTACTTCTAATTTAGTTTCTTTGAGGTAAATTTATCAATTAAATTTAAACAAAACCCTAGCCCTCTACCTTCGAGACTATCTTGCGGAGATAATTAAATCAGGACACTGATAAATGGACCAACTATTGATTTAACAGTAAGGATAGATGTAATCGGAAAGACTGGCTAAAGTGAGTATTCCATAACAGCAGTGCACTCAGTTTACAGAAAGACACACAAGAGCATATCTGTAAATATCCAGTGGGTGAGAAATAAGTCTGCAGATGAATGGGGGAATTGAGATGTAATGCATAATGATCATTCTCCCACAGCGGGACTTTTAACAGGAACAGTCAGTATTTGTACATGCATCTCACGTTCCCCACACAACTTTCTTTTACAGATTGTTGTCAGATTTACGAGAATAAAGGTCTTCAAATGACTGGTACACCTGTTGGAAAGTCAAATAGAAAATCCCCGAGACGTAGTTTTGTACCGAACTAGTATTCAAAACCTCCCCCTCCTCCTCCAACCGAGCAAAGGGGATTAGGGATCTCTCCTTGAAGGGGTTAAAAGGACGGTTTGTCACTGGGCAATCCTTGCACAGCGCGGGCTTTTCAAACGCCCACAAGGTTTGTAATTGACTAATCCTTGCACAGCGCGGGCTTTTCAAACGCAGGAAGTTGTTTTTAAACCGCGCCCAGAAACCAGATAGAGAACGGATTTTTGCTTCTAAAATCGCCAACATTTCCTCCCGCTTCCCTCCCTCTCTCTCTCCTCGGAGACGTAGGCCGATATGCGTTTACACGGTAATCTTATGGCTATTGTAGATCAGTCCCCTAACGGCAGCATTTATACGGAAGGAATGATTGGCTCCCGCACTAATCCTCTTTAACTGTTTTACAAAATGCATCTTCCTAATAGATTTGATATAGTATCTCAAAATAATATTAGCAATTATTAGGAGGTGTTTTTTAATGCCCCCATAATGCTGCTTTCTAGAAAATGCGCTGGACTCTTCCTTGTAAATCCACCTTCCTGTACCTCTGCGACTGCTGGAGGAACTGGCCAGAGACTGCGTCTGAGGACACCATCTACAGCTAAATGCTGCTAACTAAATACCTTCAATACTTTAAAACTATTACTTCTATATTCTAAACCAAATATGAATTAACACAAAAGGTAGGAGTCCAGTTAAGGTTTGTGGTGTGTTCCCTGAGGCACTGTTTTACTTGTGGTTTTCAGACCTTCATGATTGAACCCCGCTCCTCTACGTGAGTTAGCAGTAAAACAGAGGCGTTATCTATACAATTTGTCTAATAGAGTGACAAACATGTTGCTTAGATAAAAAAAATTCAGTACCAAGTATTTTTTCCTCGCTCATCTTCCTTCCCGTGCTGATTAGACTGATCCAGCTCTTACTGTGAAAGTATGGGTGGCTCTGAAAAGAGCCGTTGTTAATTATACGTGGGAAAAAGACTCAACCACCAAATCCGTACAGAGTGCGGCCCTGGCGTTTCAGAGCATAAACCACATCCATGGCTGTGACCGTCTTACGCTTGGCATGTTCAGTGTAAGTAACAGCATCGCGGATCACGTTCTCTAAAAACACCTTCAACACGCCACGCGTCTCTTCGTAAATCAGTCCCGAAATACGTTTTACTCCCCCACGGCGCGCCAAACGACGAATAGCCGGCTTTGTAATACCTTGGATATTATCACGAAGAACCTTCCGATGGCGTTTAGCGCCCCCCTTCCCAAGTCCCTTACCACCTTTACCACGTCCAGACATAACTACCTCAGTACTACTCCACACAATGAAAAAAATATAAACTGCTTTATTTGTGAACTATGTAACCGTATGTGGGCTCATCTCCTTATATACAGCTGAAACCGACCTAATTGAAAACTGCAAAGAGGCGGTTCTATTCTAGTGGTCTTCCCTTTCTTTCCCCCACTGACCTCTGTACAATGCTCATTTAGAAGAGAAAAGCGGGAGAGCATTCCCCTCCCCCACCCTCCTCCCGCTCACCGTTGGCAGCAGACTGCTTCTTTTAAAATTCAGAAATCTTTTGAGTACAGATATATACATTTATTTCTGTAGTATTTCCTGAAATTTTGTACTTTTATACATTACTAAATCCTACCTAATTATTGGAATCCCAGATTTTCCAGCAATACTGGTCCTTTTAAACTCCTTAAAATAAGAGCCACATTCAAAATGTGCTTTTTATTTGTCACTGGTGTATTTTCACTTCTGGAGGATCTTCCAGAAAAAGTGTTTCACACCATGGGCTATTTCTTTTGAAAATGTTCCTTAGATTTTTAAAAAGTTGCAGTGTGCAGCAAAATGTGGCCAATCAGATTTCCTGACACATCTTTCACTTTTCTTATACCCCACATTCACTGCCATTTTCCAAAGCATGCATAAAGACGGTTAATGTGATAAGTACGCCTTAATTTCAGCCAAAGGATGTGCTAAAATGGCATTTATTACCACTTCCAGAATCTGACATTCCATTAGTTATGTATGGAAAATTGGGGAATATGTGAGCGTTACCTGTTTCTAACCCTTTTCTATATTCTCAGTGACCTGTAGCACCTGCCATCTGCACTGGAATTCACACAGGCCCAGGTACCCTTTCTCTCTCCTTTCTGATGCACTATTGGACAATTGGTCTGAAATCAACAAGATTAAATGCAATATCGATACGTGCAAGGTACTACCCTTAGGAAGGAAAAATAAAGTGTACAACTACAAAATGGGGATTAACTGTCTAGGTCAGGGGTGGGCAAACTTTTTGGCCCAAGGGCCACATTGGGGTTGCAAAACTGTATGGAGGGCTGGATAGGGAAGGCTGTGCCTCCCCAAACAGCCTGGCCCCTGACCATTATCTGCCCCCTCCCACTTCCTATCCAACCCCCCTGCTCCTTGTCCCCTAACCACCCCCCCCGGGACCCCAGTCCCTATCCAACCCCCCTGCTCCCAGTCCCCCAACTCCTATCCACACCCCTGACAGGCCCCCCAGGACCCCACACCTATCCAACCCTTGTTCCCCATCCCCTGACCGTCACGCCCCCTGCAAAACCTCCGCCCCATCCAACCGCTTCCTGTCCCCTGACCGCCCCCTGGGACTCCCCGCCCCTTATCCAACCCACCGGCGCCAGCCCCCTTACCGTGCCGCTCAGAGCAGCATGTCTGGCAGCCACACCACCCAGCCAGAGCTGGACACGCTGCCACTCTGCTCGGCAGGAGTGCACAGCTCCTCTGCCCAGAGCAAGGTCCGCGCTGCAGCGTGGCTGCAGGGGAAGAGGGACAGTGAGGGAAGGGCCGTGGGCTAGCCTCCCTGGCCAGGAGCTCAAGGGCCAGGCAGGATGGTCCCACGGGCCGGATGTGGTCCGCGGGGCATAGTTTGCCCACCTCTGGTCTAGGATGTAGTACTGCTAGAAATGATCTGGGAGTTAGAGTGGAATACAAATTGAATGAGAGTCAACAATGTGATGCAGTTATGAAAAAGGCAATATTCTAAGATGTATTAACAGGTGTGTTGCATGCAAGACACGGGAGACAATTATCCCACTTTACTGAGCACAGGTGAGGCCTCAGCTGGAATACTACATTCAGTTTTAGGCAACACACTTTATGAAAGATGTGGACAAACTGGAGAGACCAGAGGAGAGTAACAAAAATAATAAAAGGTTTAGAAACCTGACTAACTGGGCACAGACTCACCGGCAGTGCCTCCTGCTGGTTGTCCTTGGGAATTAGCGTTCCAGCCTCCAGAGTGCCCTCTTCAGGCCGGCATCTCGCCTTGCTGCTGGCTCCCATGTCCCTCCCAGGACCCCGGTGCCCCTGTCTTGGGTGCTGCCCCCTGGCACTACCCCACAGTTCTGGGTCTCCCCCTTCCAGGGGAACCCCCCACCCACTAGCCCTACCTTGCCTCAGTCATAGGCTCCTGCCAGTCACCAGCTAGCCCCCACACCCTGGGGCAGACTGCAGTATGAGCCACTCATCACCAGCAAGGTTGGATTTGGACCTGCTACCTCTGCCTACCCGTGGCTGCCCCCTGCAACCCTCATACATAATAGGATTTACCAGGCCCTCAGCCTGGGGCTTCCCTAGGCCGGAGCACCCAGGCTCCCTTGGCCTTTCCCCAGCCCTGCACCAAACTAGGTGTTCTGCTTGACACCTTACACCCAGACCCTTCTCCCTCGAAAGAAAGAAAGAAAGTCTTTTTGAGTGTCTGGCTCACAGCCTTTATAAAGCCAGCTGGGCCCTGATTGGGGCGTGGCCCGCAGCTGCCTCCACTTCCCCCAATCGGCCGGGGTTTTGCTCCCTTCCCCAGCCCCATCTCTCTGCAGGGCTTTTCCAACCCCTTCAGGGCTGGAGTGGGTGCTCACCCCACTACACTGACCTATGAAGAAACGTTGAAAAAAAGTAGGAATTAAGATCAATTGTTCTCCATGTCCACTAAAGGTAGGACAAGAAGTAATGCGCTTAATCTGAAGCCAGGGCGATTTAGATTAGAAATTAGGAAACTTTCTAACTATAAGGGTAGTTAAGATTCAGAATAGGCTTCCAAGGGAGATTGTGGAATCCCCATCATTGGAGGATTTTAAGAACTGGATAGACAAACAGCTGTCAAGGATGGTCTAGGTTTACTTGGTTCTGCCACAGTGCAGAGCTAGCTCAACTTGATGACCTCTCAGCCCTACTTTTCTATGATTCTATTGCTCTGGGTCATTCCAGCAGTCTGGTGGTACATGACACAGTGTACTACAAGGCTTAGTTAAAACTAACCAAAGACAGGATTTTCTTTGGGACTCGGCCCATTGCTCAGAAAAGGCAGAATTAAGATTTGGGGGGTGAGGAGAGGTGTTAGATATTGCCTTAATTGTATTTCCTGATTTTAGTGTTTGGGAGCATATTGGATTTTAGCTAAGGCCTAAAATGGTGGATTTGGCTAACCTTTTCTCACATGTCAATGAGAACATGTTGATATCAGTAGTTCACACACTGTGTATACAGTTAAGGGAGTCATTCTTTACATTGCAGGGAGCATGTGACACACACTGACCTTCTGGAACTGTGCATACTAGTTCCTGAAGTTTTTACTTTATGTTTGAAATTTTGAGGGCGGGGGAGGAGAGTATGGATGTGTGTATCTAGGTTAAGGAACAGGAACCCCCTCCCCTGTAACCGTATCTTTACTGTAAAGAGGCAGTGGACTTGATCTGTGTGGTTATTGACAATCTTGGACAACAAAACACAGCTGTCTTTAAAAGGCTGTATCTGGAGTACAGCTTTGCAGACACAGCTTCAAAATGTGTAAAGCTGAAAAATGAATATAAAAGACACAGAGATAAGCTTAAAGCTTCCAAATGCATTGGCTAAAAAATTGTGCCACACTGGGGAAAAAGGTGAAAAGTTTACAATCCCAGAATTTAGAAGCTAGTGAAGCCTTAGGAAATGTCCTATTCCAAAATGAAAAATGGAAGCTGAGTGATTTAAGGAAGGGGATGTGACGTTAAATGGAGTTTTGTACAGATTATGAACACTACAGAGAGAAAAAGTTAGTGCAAGTATTAAATTGTTAAAAAATGTTAGTATTAAAGGGAATGTTGATGATTCTTTTTTTACAAAAAAGGCATGTTGAGAGAAGGACTATCTACTAAGATCAATAGAAAAATAAAGTAACGTAGCCACTAATATTGCTGTCAGTAAAAGAACAGTTTAAGTGTAGCAGCAATGGTACCTATATTGAAGCTGGATGAAACTTAGAAAAGAATAAGGAAATCAAAGCGGTCTCGATACAGAATATTTCTAACATACAGCAGTTAACAGAGCCACCACCCCCAAAGTTATCTCAGCTGTGAAAAATGTATTCAAAGCCAACATATAACATTAAAATTGCAGTTTACAAATGTAAACGTCTTAATTTAGGGAAGGCCCAATGAAAACTGAAAAGGTATTTTGATGGCCAAGTCTCTGGCGTGGAGCATGAAGTAGGAGATCAGGTGCTTGTACAGTATGTCTCAGAGAAAAAGCCCTTTCCCAAATCCATTTTGGAGGGTCCCTGCTATGTAATGGATAAGGCTAGTCCATCAGTATACCTGGTTCAGGTAAAGGATGAAAAATGGGTGGTGAGTTGATGGTTGCATGCAATGCAGCTGAACCTGTACAGAGGGAGGGACAGAAAGGAATCTACTGATGTAAAAAAAGGGAAGCAAGAATAATTGTTTTCTTTTTCAGATGTTGATTAACATGGGAGGCATAATATGAACTACGTTGGGATCCATGGAATTCAGGATACAGCAGAGAAACAATGAGGGGACAGTGCATGAGGGGGAGAATACCACCCTAGCCTTACGGTTCCCAGGTAGTCATGCAAAAAAGCCTACAATGTTCTGGTACAGACTGGACTGCAGCCAAGGTGGAAGATCCTAACAGCTCTCAGGAGCAGGGACTTGGAATGGGGGACCTAGTGGGGATGGTGTGTTTAAATGGGATGGTAATGGCTAACCTAACCACACAGTTAACACTGTTGGGAAATATTACAATTATATTAGTAAATCATTGAACTACCGCCCATGAATCCACTACCATGCCAGGAAAGTGACTGAGACTTTGACCTTTTTTTCTGAATGTGATTAAGGACTTGCAGAGTACCACTCCCACTCCTGAACATACTGGAGTAACAATGTCTACTACTCTAGAATTGAAGGAAGATAATGAACCATGTCCAGAAATGGAACCATGACCTGATGATGGACTAATGATAAATTGTGAACATCAGATTATGAGTAATAACACACAGTAACAAGTGATACCTATAGTATTGAATGTATCCGATTTTACATTACCACAGCAGCTCTGTCATGTGAAATATTTGCACGTCTAAATACAAATGATATAAGAAGTCAGGCAAAAATTCAGACAGCCAATGGATGGGATTGAATTCAAGGAGATTTGGTGGCCTGAGAAGGGAAAGAGTCAGGGGAAAAGAAATTAAAAAAAGATATGGAAACTGTACTAAGGGTCGGGGCATTGGGAACATCAGCATGGAATCACAATATTGTGGGAGGAAAATTAGAGCATGAGAGTTCAATTGTAAAACCTGTTAAAATTAAATAAACAATGGAATGAGGATATAGGGGAGAATTTAAAGGGTGTTCAGGATGCTAGGATAACAGGACAGATGTTTAGAGAAGTGGAAGCAGCACTCAATAAACTAGGAAAAATCATGAACCATCATAATCTGTCAAAGGCAAAGTACCTGTTTGTGTTTCTTAACACAGGAGCTTCAAGTTGGAGTAAATGAAATTGAGCATGGGGAAATACATGGGTTCATAAGAAATAAGCTGCTAGAACAATAGACAAAAATAAAAGGAGTAGATTGGAGCAGGGATGCTACTCAGGAATCCATTATGCTCAGAAAAGGTGCACGTTTGATGAAACATGGATAATTCCTTGGGTACTAGCAGTACCAGTGGTCACAGGTCTAAGTGATGCATTAAGAGTGTATAGTGTCCAGCCTATAGATAAGTTGGAACCTACCATGGCAGGTTACATCCTTAAGGTATATGTCATTCCTCCTTGGATACTAGTAAGGACAGGTGGGGGAGTCTGGAAATCCCCAAATACCTCATGTTGTTCAAAGAGCCAAGGTACCTAATATGTCATTGTGATGAACTGCATTGCCAGTTTGTGGATTCTCCTTCGATGAAGAAAAAAATCACACAGTACAGCTGAGGCAATGGGGACAAGGTCAAGTCAAGATTGCGAAGGCTGGAGAAGACAAATATTGTGCAATCTCTAGAGTTGGACATTTCCAATTTGTCCACATCTTTCCTGAAATGTGGCACCCAGAACTGGACACAATACTCCAGTTGAGGCCTAATCAGAGCTGAGTAGAGTGGAAGAATTACTTCCGTGTCTTGCTTACAATACTCCTGCTAATCCATCGCAGAATGATGTTTGCTTTTTTTTGCAACAGCGTTACACTGTTGACTCATATTTAGCTTGTGATCCACTATAACCCCCAGATCCCTTTCTCCAGTACTCCTTCCTAGGCAGTCATTTCCCAATTTGTACGTGTGCAGCTGATTGTTCCTTCCTAAGTGGAGTAATTTGCATTTGTCCTTATTGAATTTCATCCTATTTACTTCAGACCATTTCTTCAGTTTGTCCAGATCATTTTGAATTTTAATCTTATCTTCCAAAGCACTTGCAACCCCTCTCAGCTTGGTATCATCCTCAAACTTTATTAAGTGTACTCTGTATGCCATTATCTAAGTCATTGATGAAGATATTGAACAGAACTGGACCCAGAATTGATCTCTGTGGGACCCCATTCATTATTCCTTTCCAGCATGACTCTGAACCACTGATAACTACTCTCTGGGAACGATTTTCCAACCAGGTATGCACCCACCTTATAGTAGCTACATCTAGCTTGTATTTCCCTAGTTTGTTTATGAGGTCATGAGAGACAGTATCAAAAGCCTTACTAAAGTCAAGATCTACTGCATCCCCCCATCCACAAGGCTTGCTACACTGTAAAAGAAAGCTATCGGGTTGGTTTGACACAATTTGTTCTTGACAAATCCATGCTGACTGTTATTTATCACCTTATTATCTTTTAGGTGTTTGCAAATTGATTGCTTTATTATTTGCTCTGTTATCTTTCCAGGTACAGAAGTTAAGCTGACTGGTCTGTAATTCCCTGGGTTGTCCTTATTTCCTTTTTTATAGATGGGCACTATATTTGCCCTTTTCCAGTCTTCTGAGTAGATGTCCAAAACATTTGTTGACCTGAAGACAGGAGAGTCAAAATATTCAAAGCAACATAGATACACTGTGGAATTCCTCATAGTGGAAGTTAGTGTACTATATTGGGGAACATCCATGGATACGCATGATATCAACAGGCTTTGTAATTGTGCAAGCCATCCTAGTAGTGGTGTTAATTGCATTTATTTGGAAGGTTAGGAACATGGTTAGGTAGTGGAGAAAGAGAATAATGTCTATGAAATACAGGCTTTGATGAAGCTTTAGAAAGGATTCTATGGCTTCATGATGGGAAGTGTTGAGGCTGATGATATATTTAGGCTTGACAGAATCCTGCAGTGAATTTTAAGAGTCTGTTCTGACAACATTTAACAGCGTAAGCATAAATAGAACTGTGCATGTGTAAGAAATTGCAGAGTAATCATGTTTGTGAGAAAAAGAAATGACAAAGTAACTAAAAAGATGCAGAAGACCAGCTTGAACACTAAACCTGTACTGACAGAGGAGAGTTAACATGAAAATATGTGTAAGAAAGGGTAACAAAAAGCTGTAAATAAGTAAGTTATAAGTTTGTTTAACAAAGGGAGGTTAAAGCTGTATTGGCCTGTGCTGGAGGTGACTGTGATTAGATCATCCTGATGAACTTCCCACTTCTAAGTAAGTGATCACCACTTGCTGAGTGTTTTGCCTAAATAAAAGATTTGTTAGACCCATCTGCTGAGTAAGTGAATCTCAATCCAACACACAGATGTTCAAGTTTAGGTGCATTTGACATTTAGAGATAAGAGGCACTGCCAGTCAACATAAACTCTGTATTAACCAAGATTTTGGGTAGTGAGTTTTCCTTGATTTTTGAGGAAGTGGTGGCAGAGAGGGGGAAATGATGATAGAGACAACTATGGGAGGGCATGAAGGATCCTTGTGGGTTTACTTTAGCCTCCCCCTGCACCAGCTCTGGGCTTCTCCTGCATCTTGCCCTCTGCCCCCAGTAAAAGTGCAGAGGCCAAGGTGAAAAGGGAATCTGGTAACTGAAGGGTTATGAGGAACAGATCAAGCAGCTGAAGACAAGGCAAACCCCAGATTCTTTATTCCTTTTTGGAGGCTGGGAAGGGGAAAAGAACTGTGCACAATCCATGGAGATAAATGCATTCTGATACAACACCTCCGAGAAGGGTGAGCTGCTTGGTTCATCTCCAAACTTGTTTTCATCCACCCCTCAAAGTAAAATTATCCCCCCACAGTTTTTGTGGAATACCAGTTTTCAATACAAATGTCCTATGTACATGGATATTAGAACAATAGGAATATTGAAATCAGGTCCATATTGGAGGAGTAGAATAAAAACACCTTACACAAATGATCCCACAATTATGAAACAAATCTGCCACAGACCCTGATGCATCACACTTATTTTCAAGTCTCTGGATTATAGAGGAATTTGAATATTAAAATCATCTTCTTAGTGGAAGGGCTGTATATGAGGAACTTTTTGACTCAATGACCCTCAACATTTGTATAACGGAGTGTACCTCTGCTCCTCTTTTGCTTTTAAAATATTACTATGCATGTGGATTTTGAATATTGGGGGTATATCATCACCCACTGATCAAATAACCCCAACTTTGCCACGCAATTTTTACCTGAGGCATTGTTCCATCATGCCAATTTCTAAGGCAATTTACCTATACATTTGGACTTTATAGAATTTTGATATGTGCAAACATCTCATTTTGGATATGTTATATCTCAGGAATCCCTTGGCTGAATGAATCTGAATTTGCTTTATATAGGCTACCCAAATCCTGTTGAATGCCTGTGCACAACCCTTCATCAGTCAGCTACCCGGTCTTGCCGCCTCCTGGCCACTCCATGCCCCTGGGTCTACTGCATAGGGATGGGACTCTGCACTCCAATAGGGAACATGGGAGCCTGTACAACAGTCACAGGTGAAAGACACCTAATGAGAATGAATGAAAACTGAAACAAGAGCTCTGATGTGTGAAGTTCTCAATTCATCACCATGAATGTTCTCATCTCTTCCCCTGTCCCAGTGCCTGGGTGTATGTGTCATATACTGCATCATATACAGTATTTGAGAAAGAGAGTCATTTTAAGGGACATAGTAAAATAAACTTGGGGATTCATTAGGATATAGCTATTGTTATTTCTAACAAATATTTTTTGAGCCTTGCTCACATCACAATGTGTGTAGGGTGGAAAACAAAACAAAAAGAGACAAAAAAACCCTCTGACATTATTACCAGAATCTTCCCTGGATATTTAAGTAGACACTTGCTTATTAGCTGTTACAGGCTAATCAAATAGTATATGATGCCTTAATTTTATCTTTCACATTATATTATCTTCTGTCACAGAATCAGCTTCTTTCTGCTTTTTTAGGAGATGATTTGTGGGCTAGTTTTCACCAGCTTAAACCCAAGATCATCACAAGAAGTGAGAACTGTTATTCTGGAATGCAAAGAGAACAAAAAGTTTCATTCCTTTGTTGTGAGTGCAAAGTAGGTTACAGATAATTCAGTCCTTTTCTGAAGTGATTGGCTCTGAGAAGGTACAGAGAGAGAGAGATTTAAAGTTCCCTTTAGCTGTTAAAAAGGCATCAAATGAGTCATATTATATTAGTGCTACAGAACATATACAACAGTCTCCTGCAATTCAGACAACTAAATAAAGTGGTATCATTAATTATACGCTTTAAAGAAGCCACCTTTATATAACATTAAATTAAATAGAAGAAAATAATTTATTAACTGAATTTTCATCTCTAGATAATGGTATCCCTATAGTTTATGTTTATACTACAACATTGTACCTTAATTGTTGTTTTAATCAATAATGCTGTAAAAAGAGACTAAAATACAAAACACTGTTTAGCAAATTACTTGCTTGATACATTTTAAAAAGTTACTTTTTAAGGGAAAATACAAATAACATTAAAATTACTTTGAAACTGTAAAATAGGCTAGCGTGCTTATCTTCAGTCGGAATATCTGAAAAGGCAAAATATAACAATTATTTGCATAAATGTTCAGAGCATAAACATTCTTTTATAAGTATTTAAAAAGTCCTTCATGATTTTGTTTGTGGCACTATTTCAGCAGAATTAAAGGATTGTAGGAGGTAAAAGACATTGTTAAGGGAGCCAATTCTTATTCTGTTTTCAAAACTCAGGGACAAGTTTGTGTTACTTCCTTCTCTTCAAAATTAATTTACACTGAGGAGATCCATTCATATACTTAGTTTTATATTCTGACTTGGAGAAAATGCCCTAAAGAATAATATTTCATTGTGAATGTAATTCTATTGACAACTGTACCATTTTCATTTGTAAGCATAAACAAGTTACCCTCTCCCCAGGTCTCTCTAGCTTCGGGTTCCAGAGTTTATGGGCTCTTCTTTAACTCATCTTTATATTCTACAACTGAAAACTCTGTAGACTAAAAATACCTTGTTTCCTCTTTACCCAGCTAAGAAACTGAGCGATTTGGTAGCAGATATTATCTAAAAAATGAACTTTTTAATTACAAAGAAACACAAATTGAACTGCGAGGCCTTTTGCAATGAAATTGGGCGGGCTCTTTAACTCACCAATAAGACCTCAGTTCATCTCTAAAAATACCAGGCAGCTGATCTGCTACAGTTTGTTTCTGTCCCAGACTGTCAGATACTCTGCCAGTATGTTAGAAACGGCACCTATTGCCTCTCCCCATGTCACTGCTCCTGGGGAGAAATCCCTCGCCAAAAAAACGAAGGCAGGAGGAGGCACCAAAGCTCACAAACCCTCGGGTCCCAGCGTGACCGAGCTGATCACCAAGGCGGTGTCCGCATCCAAGGAGCGCAAAGGGCTCTCCTTGGCCGCTCTTAAGAAGGCTCTGGCCGCCGGGGGGTACGATGTGGAGAAGAACAAAAGCCGCATCAAGCTGGGACTAAAGAGCCTGGTGAGCAAGGGCACCTTGGTGCAGACCAAAGGCACCGGCGCATCCGGCTCCTTCAAACTCAGCAAAAAGCCTGATGTGACCAAGGAAAAGACGCCGAAAAAAAAGGCAGTGGCACAGCCTAAGAAACCAGCTGCCAAGAAACCCGCCAGCGCCTCCAAGAAACCAAAAAAGGCTGCGGCCGTGAAAAAGAGCCCGAAAAAAACCAAGAAACCAGCAGGTGCCGCAGCCAAGAAAGCGGCCAAGAGCCCCAAAAAGCTTACAGCCGCTAAGCCCACGAAAGTACCTAAGAGCCCGAGTAAAGCCAAAGCGGTGAAGGCCAAGTTTGTCAAGCCGAGTAAACTTAAAGTAGCGAAGGCGGCCCCCAAGAAGTGAAACTGATTAAAGAGGAAAGGAATCGTCTCAGCCAAACAAACCCAACGGCTCTTTTAAGAGCCACCCATCCCTTCCCAAAAGGAGCTGAAATGTCGGGATCACTTACTTAATAACCTAACCGTGTCTCTCTTGAAGGGCAGAAATTCCCTTCTCAGATGGCAACAGAAGAGGACAGATACACGGCTCTGGGAAAGCGTATTATCCTACCTGCTCCATATCAGCTTTAGTCCCGCGCTCTCGGAGAAAAACAGTCTGAAATGCTAAATTTTTAGTGATCTATAGACAAAAGTCTCTTTTCTGACCTGGAAGGAGCGGGGATAGGGATTAGAGCCGTAGTTAGTTTGAAAAACCCGCACTTTTATTTTCTTTAACAGTAATTTAACAGTATCATAAGAGGGGGAGGGATGGATTAGAATCTATATGAACTCACACTGCCTCTCCTTGAGAAGATTAATGGCTACAAAATTATTCCCCCCAGGAAATCTATTTGTTTTCCAGTCAGATTTGTGGGCTATTTTGAACTCTACGTTCTTTTAAATCGGCATCCAAGCAGTGGGTAAGGGAACGCTGCTCGTTGTTATTACCCTTTTGATATAATATACTTTTCATATAGATTCTAATCCATTCCCCACTCTTATGATACTTCTGAATTACTGTTTCCAGAGATAAACCGGGAATAAATAAAATTTCTTTTGTAGTTGTTTCACTTTTCTCAGAAAGTCAGATAATTTCAGCTCTTGCTTGTTAAACTCCTCGTCTTTACGGATGGCGAGCTGCCAATGGCGGGGAATGAGTCTGGCTTTCTTGTCCCGAGCAGCATTCCCAGCCAACTGGAGAATCTCAGCGGTCAGATACTCCAGCACCGCAGCCATATAGACCGGGACTCTGGCACCTACCCGCTCCGCATAGCGACCTTTCTGAAGCAGACGGTATACACGGCCCACTGGAAACTGCAGCCCAAGAGCCCGTACTTTACCTCCCTGCTTGCCGCGGCCCGACATTATGACGCAAAAACTATTAAATGCGCCTCACTCAAAAAAAAAAAAGTGTGTGTGTGTGTGTGGGGGGAGAATAACGTTTTCACACATTGCTTTTATATCTCTTCTCTTTTTTCAATAAAACGGCTTATGATAGGCTAAAATGTTCACAGATCTGTCAACGTGCCTTGGGGATGAGGATCTACCTTTAACCAATGGTGACGTCGGATGGGAAAGTTTAAGTCTAACAGCCAATAGTTAACCAAGAAAAGCAGTCCGCAAATTTGCATTAATAGTGGGGCGGGAACTATTATTCTCTTGTTTTGGTGGTTCAACTAAAAAGAGAGGGTTACTTTTAGGACCCTCCGTCTGTAACGCAGGAGCATAACTCATTTTACACGTTCCATTTAGTGCAAGACACTCATCAAATTTCAAAGCACCCTGCCTAAAAGACATTTTGATACGCATAAATTACGTTATATGAGATATCGAAATTATGTTGATTGCACGCTTGACCACCGGTATTTAACGTTCTCGCAGCAAGCTTCTCATGGGAACATTGATTAAAGGTGTTCTTCCCCCTTATTTGGTTTATGAACTATGCTTATAAATAAAAGCGTGCACACCCTGATGGCTGCGACTTTGAGCCCTGGTCTACACTAGGACTTTAGGTCTAATTTAGCAGTGTTAAATTGATGTAAAACTGCACCCCTCCACACGATGAAGCCTTTTTTTCGACTTAAAGGGCTCTTAAAATCGATTTCCTTACTCCACCCCTGACAAGTGGATTAGCGCTTAAATCGGCCTTGCCGGGTCGAATTTGGGGTACTGTGGACACAATTGGATGGTATTGGCCTCCGGGAGCTATCCCAAAGTGCTCCATTGTGACCGCTCTGGACAGCACTCTCAACTCAGATGCACTGGCCAGGTAGACAGGAAAAGGCCCACAAACTTTTGAATCTCATTTCCTGTTTGGCCAGGGTGGCAAGCTGCAGGTGACCATGCACAGCTCATCAGCAGAGGTGACCATGTTGGAGTCCCAGAATCGCAAAAGAGCTCCAGCATGGACCGAACGGGAGGTACGGGATCTGATCGCTGTATGGGGAGAGGAATCTGTGCTATCAGAACTCCGTTCCAGTTTTTGAAATGCCAAAATATTTGTCAAAATCTCCCAGGGCATGAAGGACAGAGGCCATAACAGGGACCTGAAGCAGTGCCACGTGAAACTTAAGGAGCTGAGGCAAGCCTACCAGAAAACCAGAGAGGCAAACGGCCGCTCCGGGTCAGAGCCCCAAACATGCCACTTCTATGATGAGCTGCATGCCATTTTAGGGGGTTCAGCCACCACTACCCCAGCCGTGTTGTTTGACTCCTTCAGTGGAGATGGAGGCAACACAGAAGCAGGTTTTGGGGACTAAGAAGATGATGAGGAGGAGGAGGTTGTAGATAGCTCACAGCAAGCAAGCGGAGAAACCGGTTTTCCCAACAGCCAGGAACTGTTTCTCACCCTGGACCTGGAGCCAGTACCCCCCGAACCCACCCAAGGTTGCCTCCTGGACCCGGCAGGTGGAGAAGGGACCTCCAGTGAGTGTACCTTTTAAAATACTATACATGATTTAAAAGCAAGCATGTGAAAGGATTAATTTGCCCTGGCATTCGCAGCTCTCCTGGATGTACTCCCAAAGCCTTTGCAAAAGGTTTCTGGGGAGGGCAGCCTTATTGCGTCCTTCATAGTAGGACACTTTACCACACCAGGCCAGTAGCATGTACTCGGGAATTATTGTACAATAAAGCATTGCAGTGTATGGTTGCTGGCGTTCAAACAACATCCGTTCTTTATCTCTCTGTGTTACCCTCAGGAGAGTGAGATATCAGTCATGGTCACCTGGTTGAAATAGGGTGCTTTTCTTCAGGGGACACTCAGAGGTGCCCGTTCCTGCTGGGCTGTTTGCCTGCGGCTGAACAGAAATGTTCCCTGCTCTTAGTCACGGGGAGGGGTAAGGATTGAGGGGGTAGCCACACGGTGGGGGGAGGCAAAATGCGACCTTGTAACGAAAGCCATGTGCTATGTATGTAATGTTAACAGCAAGGTTTACCCTGAAAGAGTGTAGCCATTATTTTATAAAATGTGTCTTTTTTAAATACCGCTGTCCCTTTTTTTTTTCTCCACCAGCTGCATGTGTTTCAATGATCACAGGATCTTCTCCTTCCCAGAGGCTAGTGAAGATTAGAAAGAAAAAAAAATGCACTCGTGATGAAATGTTCTCTGAGCTCATGCTGTCCTCCCGCACTGACAGAGCACAGACGAATGCGTGGAGGCAAATAATGTCAGAGTGCAGGAAAGCACAAAATGACCGGGAGGAGAGGTGGCGGGCTGAAGAGAGTAAGTGGCGGGCTGAAGAGAGTAAGCGGCAGGCTGAAGACAGGGCTGAAGCTCAAATGAGGCGGCAGCATGATGAGAGGAGGCAGGATTCAATGCTGAGTCTGCTGGAGGATCAAACCAGTATGCTCCAGTGTATGGTTGAGCTGCAGCAAAGGCAGCTGGAGCACAGACTGCCGCTACAGCCCCTGTGTAACCAACCACCCTCCTCCCCAAGTTCCATAGCCTCCTCACCCAGATGCCCAAGAACGCGGTGGAGGAGCCTCCGGCCAACCAGCCACTCCACCACAGAGGATTGCCCAAAAAACAGAAGGCTGGCATTCAATAAATTTTAAAGTTGTAAACTTTTAAAGTGCTGTGTGGCATTTTCCTTCCCTCCTCCTGGGCTACCTTGGTAGTCATCTCCCTATTTGTGTGATGAATGAATAAAGAATGCATGAATGTGAAGCAACAATGACTTTATTGCCTCTGCAAGTGGTGATCGAAGGGAGGAGAGGAGGGTGGTTAGCTTACAGGGAAGTAGAGTCAACCAAGGGGCAGTGTGTTTCATCATGGAGAAACAAAGAGAACTTTCACACTGTAGCCTGTCCAGTCATGAAACTGGCTTTCAAAGCTTCTCTGATGCGCACCGCGCCCTCCTGTGCTCTTCTAACCGCCCTGGTGTCTGGCTGTACGAAACCAGCAGCCAGGCCATTTGCCTTAACCTCCCACCACACCATAAACGTCTCCCCCTTACTCTCACAGATATTGTGGAGTGCACAGCAAGCAGTAATAACAGTGGGAACATTGGTTTCGCTGAGGTCTAAGCAAGTCAGTAAACTGCGCCAGCGTGCCTTTAAACGTCCAAATGCACATTCTACCACCATTCTGCACTTGCTCAGCCTGTAGTTGAACAGCTCCTGACTACTGTCCAGGCTGCCTGTGTACGGCTTCATGAGCCAGGGCATTAAGGGGTAGGCTGGGTCCCCAAGGATACATATAGGCATTTCAACATCCCCAACAGTTATTTTCTGGTCTGAGAATAAAGTCCCTTCTTGCAGATTTTGAAACAGACCAGAGTTCCTGAAGATGCAAGCATCATGTACCTTTCCCGGCCATCCCACGTTGATGTGGGTGAAACGTCCCTTGTGATCCACCAGAGCTTGCAGCACTATTGAAAAGTATCCCTTGCGGTTTATGTACTTGCCGGCTTGGTGCTCCGGTGCCAATATAGGGATATGGGTTCCGTCTATGGCCCCACCACAGTTAGGGAATCCCATTGCAGCAAAGCCATCCACTATGACCTGCACATTTCCCAGGGTCACTACCCTTGATATCAGCAGCTCAGTGATAGCACTGGCTATTTGCATCACAGCAGCCCCCACAGTAGATTTGCCCACTCCAAATTGATTCCCGACTGACCGGTAGCTGTCTGGCGTTGCAAGCTTCCACAGGGCTATCGCCACACACTTCTCAACTGTGCGGGCTGCTCTCATCAGGATCTTTGATTGCGTGGGCTATTTGCATCACAGCAGCCCCAACAGTAGATTTGCCCACCCCAAATTGATTGCCAACTGACCGGTAGCTGTCCGGCGTTGCAAGCTTCCACAAGGCTATCGCCACTCGCTTCTCGACTGTGAGGGCTGCTCTCATCTTGGTATTCATGCGCTTCAGGGCAGGGGAACGCAAGTCACAAAGTTCCATGAAAGTGCCCTTATGCATTCGAAAGTTTCGCAGCCACTGGGAATCGTCCCAGACCTGCAACGCTATGAGGTCCCACCAGTCTGTGCTTGTTTCCCGAGCCCAGAGTCAGCGTTCCACCGCATGAACCTGACCCATTAGCACCATGATGCATGCATTGGCAGGGCCCATGCTTTGAGAGAAATCTGTGTCCATGTCCTGATCACTCACGTGACTGCGCTGACATCGCCTCCTCACCCGGTATCGCTCTGCCAGGTTCTGGTGCTGCATATACTGCTGGATAATGCGTGTGGTGTTTAATTTGCTCCTAATTGCCAAAGTGAGCTGAGCGGCCTCCATGCTTGCCTTGGTATGGCGTCCGCACAGAAAAAAGGAGCGGAACGATTGTCTGCCATTGCTCTGATGGAGGGAAGGCGACTGACGACATGGCTTACAGGGTTGGCTTACAGGGAATTAAAATCAACTAAGGGGGTGTCTTTACATCAAGGAGTATTTCAGGCAGGACTTCACGGAGGGTTCCAATAAGAAATGGTGCACCTAAGTAATTGTTCTTATTGGAACAATCAGGTTGGTCTGGCCTCTGATTTATACATGGCTAGATTTACCTCACTGCACCTTCTCTGTGAGTGACTGCAGTGTGACCTAGAGAAATGAGTCCCCTAGACGGGGGTGGGGGGAAGCAAATGAGTACAAAACAAATCTGGTCTATTTCTTGTTTTGATCCACTCCATCTATCTTTTACATCTTTGGCTGGCAGCAGACGGTGCAGAAGGACTGCATGCCATCCACATCTCATGGCTGCCCGGCAGAAGATGGTACAATAGGACTGCTAGCAATCCATATCGCCTGCCTGCTCACCATAAGATGGTTCAATAGGACTGACTGCAGGACTAAAGAGAATGACCTGGTCAAGTCACTTCTAATGTAGTCCCTACACCCATGTCTGCCCAGGCGCTCCTGGCCGAAATGGCCAGGAGCACCTCGGACACGACGAGGACGGCTACCAGTCGTACTGTACAGTTTGCTGCCACAAGGCAAGGGGTTGCTGCTGCTGTGTAGCAATGCAGTACCGCGTCTGCCAGCACCCAGGAGACATACGGTGACCGTTACCTGAGCGGGCTTCATGCTTGCCGTGGTATGGCGTCTGCACAGGTAACTCAGGAAAAAAGGCGCAAAACGATTGTCTGCTGCTGCTTTCATGGAGGGAGGGAGGGAACGGGGGCCTGACGATATGTACCCAGAACCACCCGCGACAATGTTTTAGCCCCATCAGGCACTGGGATTTCAACGCAGAATTCCAATGGGCAGCGGAGACTGCGGGAACGGTGGGATAGCTACCCACAGTGCAACGCTCCGGAAGTCGACGCTAGCCTCGGTACTGTGGAAGCACTCCGCCGAGTTAATGCACTTAATGCACTTAGAGCATTTTTATGTGGGGATACACACACTCGAATATATAAAAACAATTTCTAAAAACCCGACTTCTATAAATTAGATCTAATTTCGTAATATAGACATACCCTAAGTAGTATTAGTGATTAAAGCAAGACATCTAAAAGGCTGCCTAGGTTCTCCCACACCAAAGGTGATTTTAAGATATTAAGAGCATTTTATTGGTTTTATATTTTGCCAGGACAATTTTATATAAATCAAGTACAGAGTATTCTTGATATTAGAAGGGCAGATGTTGTGTAAGGATTCTCAAACTGGGGGTCAGGACCCCTCAAGGGGTTGTGAGTTTATAGCATGGGGGTCACGAGCTGTCAGCCTCCACCCCAAACCCCTCTTTGCCTCCAGTATTTATAATGGTGTTAAATATATATAAAAGGTGTTTTTAACTTATAAGGGCGGGGGGGGGGGGTCTCACTCAGAGGCTTGCCATATGAAAAGGGTCGCCAGCACAAAAGTTTGAGAACCACTGTGTTACAGCTTTATCCAGTGTGAATGTAATGGCTCTTAGGAGAGTTTTTGTGTTGTCCTCCAGCGTAGTTATTAAGTATGAAAATTTGGTGGCGTAGCTTTTAAGCCTTCTCACTCCAGATGCTCCAGCCTCAGCATCCTTGGCATAACGGTAACCCTCTTGGTGTGAATAGCACAGAGATTACCGTCTTTAAAGAGTCCTCCCATGTGTGTGCACTGTCTGCTCTGGAAGGTCAATTATTCTGAGCAGATGGGGGCTGGACTAGAGCTCTGGCCCATATGGCCATGGTTCTGGAATATCTGATCACTGAAATTCTTGAGCTGCTTGGCAGACAGTACAGCTTGGGACAGCAAGAAGAAAAGGAGGACTTGTGGCACCTTAGAGACTAACAAATTTATATGAGCATAAGCCTTCGTGCGCTACAGCTCACTTCATCGGATGCATTCAGTGGAAAATAGGATTATCATCCCACGCTATCTACAACTCTTTATACATAATGACGAGGAGGTCTGTAACGCATTAAATCTAAACACACACACACACACAATTTAAAAGCTAAAAGCAATCTACACTGTCACAAATTTAATCCACTGTTTTGAGCCAGCCTGATTTTAGTTTGATTGTTGGTTATTTTACTTGTTCTTGGCATTGTGACTCTCTGTTTTATTGGGCAAAAGCATGGCCTGAAGGTAGGCAGGACACTCCCTTGTGACCAAGAAGATATATCAAGCTAAAATCAGTCCAAAACCAATCCAAAAACTCTTTTAAGAGCCACCTGCAAGGTCAAAGTAAGGATTTATTTATGTTTTAAGATCCAATAGGAAACAGGGTGACAGAAAATAATGAAATCCTTATCCTATAAAAATAAATGGCAAAGCTTTCATACACATCAGAGGGGCTAGGATATTCCCCTTATTTTTCAAACAGGAACTATGTTCAAACAAGAGCAGTGGCATTTTCCCCTCCCATGAACACTGAATTAAATTGTGGTCAGTGTAGATCGCTTTCAGCTTTTAAATTGTGTGTTTGTTTAGATTTAATTCATAGTCATCCATTTTCCACTGCATGATTTTTACCAGGAACAGTCAGTATTAATCTCTACACCTCTCAAGTCCCACACACATCTCTTGCAGGTTATTTGTGGTCAGATCTAGGAGAATAACGGTCTCCAAACGGATGCCCAATCTGTTTGTAAATCAAACAGGAAACCCTGGGGAATAGTTTGGTGCGGAATGCGTATTCCAAACCACTCCCTGCGACAGACTGCAGGGGCGTTTAGGTAGCTCCGTTAACTGGTAAAATAGGACAGGTTGGGATTGGGCACTCCTTGCACAGCGCGACGTTTTCAAACGTACAAAAGGGTTTATCACCCACCAATTCTTGCACAGCGCGGGCTTTTCAAATTTACGAAAGGGTTTAGCCACCTCCCCGGTGCAAAAGGAGGTTTTGCCTATAACTCACCAACAGCTTTGCTTCTCTGACTGTCCTGGCTTTTGTCACTTGGAGACTGAAGCCGCTGTGCCACGGCAACAGACATCTTCCATCCCTTACGCTGCAAAGTTGTGCCTTTTCCCGCGTAGTCTCCTAACCGTGGAGTGTATAAAGAGACAATGCTTGTCTCCCGCACTAATCCCAGTTACCTAATTTGGAAAATGCAACTTCCAAATTGATTTCTGTAACTCTCAGTCTCAAAAGAATATTAGCCACTGTTATGAGTATTAAGGATATCTCGACAATACTAATTTGTAGCTAGAGCAGCAAAGCCCTCAGTTACGATTACCTTTTTCGGGGAGATCCAGGCTGCTGCTGTGGCCGGGGAAAATAGCTAAAGAGACTGTGTCTGATGCTACCGAGACCGCCTCCAACCACATGCTTTCTTACTCCAGAAAGAATTTTGAGCCACCAACTCAATAAAAAAGATGTAATCCATTAAAACGCATCTGAACACGTTTCAAATTAAGAATTAAATAATGCAATAACAAACGAGCCAAAGTAGGTTTTTGTGTATTTTAAGTTTCAGCATTTCCGGTTTTCCAAAGTGTGTAAAAAGAGCTGGTGAACACAACCACAGCTGCTTTTATATGTAAAATTTATAGTAGGCGGATTAACAGGGTTTTTTGCTTGTTTCAAATATAGACTCCAGCACCAGCAAACAAAAGTAGTTTTCTTCTGAGAATATAAAATAATTTATTGTCTGGATTAAAATGTTTTTCTTTCTGTTTAAGGAACTTTTTAGAGAAACTCAGTTTATACTGAAAGCCTAGCTGGGGGATACAGTCTCCTACCATGAGGATGCCAAAAGAAAGTTGGTGGCAACCATGAACGTAGTTGTGAGCTGAAACGTCAGGCCTGCACTCTTCACAGTTATGGAGGCCAAAGGTAATGCAAGATATTGTATTGTGACTTTCAAAGCTATAAAAGATTATACTAGCTTAGGTTCTCAGTCACTAAAGAAACAAGACAATGGAAATGACCAGTGACCGGTGATTTAATGTAACAGCTTGCCTCTGCTCATGCCAGGTACCTATTTTAGATCAAGCTGAAGATTATATATTGTTTCAGGCTAAGTGGATAGGGCATTTTGATATGAATGAGACTGGCTTTGACCCAGTGACATGACTGTGTAAGAAATACTTTTATCCAACTGAACTCACCAACATAGATTCAGAAATCTCTAATTAATGCAGATAGGCGAAAGGGGAGATATTAAAAGAGTTCCATAACTAAGATTTTAAATTAAACTGAAAACAGAGTAAAGGTTTTCAATAGACTGGGATTTTTTTTTACATTTTTTCATCATTTTTCATTATGTTTTCCTCTACCAGGAAACCAGAGTGTTCTGCTTATTAGCAAGAAAGCTGGCTATCAGACTTGTGCTAAAGGAAACAAAGATTGGTCTGGCTAAATGGTCTCTTAATACAAATGCTTAGTCGCCAACGCTACAATAAAAGAACTTCCTTTATTTTCTATTTCATTTCCAATGCATGTTTTATCAAGCAAAACCACTAAGACAATACAAAAACCCTATCTAACTGAAATATAATACATTGTACTTTCATAAGACTATTTAGCAATACAACTCTTATTGCGAAAATATGGGTGGCTCTTAAAAGAGCCTTTGTGTTTCTTGCTATTTGATTTTTAACTTAAGTCAAAAGAAAAGCTTAACCTCCGAATCCGTACAAAGTACGACCCTGTCGTTTTAAAGCGTAAACCACGTCCATGGCTGTCACAGTCTTCCGCTTCGCATGCTCGGTGTAAGTAACAGCATCACGGATCACGTTTTCGAGAAAAACTTTGAGCACACCACGGGTCTCTTCATAGATCAACCCAGAAATACGCTTGACACCACCACGACGAGCCAAACGACGAATAGCCGGTTTAGTAATACCTTGAATGTTATCACGAAGTACCTTCCGATGGCGCTTAGCCCCTCCTTTTCCGAGTCCTTTACCGCCTTTGCCGCGACCAGACATACTGCTACGAGTATCAAAACACTCTATGCACGCTTAGGAACCTCTTCTCTCTTTATATTGCTGTGAGCCGACCTGACTGAAAACTTGTACTGGAAAAGGGGCGAGGCCTAGTTTATTGTCCATTCCTTCCTTCTTCCGCTCACCGCTCTCTTTATGCTGTTCGATTGAGAGGCAGCTTATTGACCACCACCCCCTTTTCTTTCTTTTTCCTTTCCTCCTGCACTCACCATTGTCTGTATACTGCTCCATTTATCCTCCACAAATTTTCGAATTATATTTCAATTATATTTATACCGAGACACATTATCTATTCCTACCTCTATTAATTCCTACCTCTGCTGAATCCCACATTTGTGCCAATATCGGTCGTTCTCTGAATTGCTCGACATAAGAGTCTATTTCAAACTGCACTTTCTCTTTTATTTTCTATTATTGTAGTTTTTCTATCTGGAGGGTATTCAGATAACAGTGCTTCCTATTTGTGGCTATTTTCTTTGGAAAATACTCCTTTTGTTTTCAGTGATTTGTAATCTGCGGCAAAATCTGACCAATCAGATTTTTTGACAAACCATCTGTCGCGGCCATTTTCCAAAGAGTACACTGGATGAATATTATAAGTAGAGTCATGCCCTCATACGCTACGTCCGTATTTCTTTCTCCACCTTCCCCCATTTGAAGGTATTTTTATTGTTGCTGTTCTTTTTGCAGTACATTCAAAAGTATGACGTCATTTGAATGACTGCAGAAATAATCGCTCAGAAAACCAGACTCCTTTCCCCTTTCCAGGACTCATGCCTCTTCTTCATAGGCATAAATAATTGTTTTATGCTCGGAAGATTTGAGTTTCTGCATAAAAACTGAGGAAAATACTTTGAAATTGCTACTGTCTACACACATTTTTGACAACACACATTGAAAGCATGGATGGAAACGATCAGAAGGGGTTCACAAAAACTGAGAAATATGCCACCTTTTCCCCTGTCGTATCCTCTGTTGCCCTCTGATGGAAATTCTTTTTCAATCTGCACAAGTTGTAAAATATATAAAAAATGGGTTTATTGGTCAGGGCTTACTAATTATAATCAAACAACTATAATACAATAACATACTAGTAATAATTAATAATAATAATAATAATAATACAACTAGAGACACAAGAAAAGGAATACTTGTGGCACCTTAGAGACAAACAAATTTATTTGAGCTACAGCTCACTTCATCGGATGCATTCAGTGGAAAATACAGTGGGGAGATTTTATATACACAGAGAACATGAAACAATGAGTGTTACCATAAACACTGTAACAAGTGTGATCAGGTGTCATTACACAAAGTAAAACGATTTCCCCATGTTTATTCTGTTTTTAACCCCTTCATTAGACAGTCTGATGATTTTACCTCTGGATTTTATCCTAAACTTCTTCACAGTTCATTTGTAATTTGCATCATACATTTTATTGTGTACAAAGACACTGTTGTATTACTAGTGTCTTTGAATAAATGCCTCTGTCTAACTTTTGTGTTCCTCAGCTCCCCAGATAAGTCTCCTCCCAGGCCATCCTTACCATTCCCCCCATGCCCTTTCCTGTACAATATTCTGATTTCAAGAGGAACAGCCCTAAACAATCCACTAAGTGAAATACACAGACATTCAAACTCTGAATACCAGCCTTCATTTGCTTATTTACAATGTATGAATATTATCTGAAAGACATACCAGTGATTTTACTTTATTTATTAAACCAATCTTTAAAGCCAAATGCTAAATACGGCAATATTTATTTGGTTATACAAAATATACTTTTTAAAATGAAATACATTTCACATTTGTAGAATGACAGGTTTCAGAGGAACAGCCGTGTTAGAAGTTTGTATTACATCTTGAAAAGGGAACATTGATAAACACAGATAAAGGACAAAAGCATCACCAAAGTACCCATTCATTTGGCTAGAAAAAGTTAAGAATTTAATTAAGGCAGCCTAATGGGAAGTTGTGTCCTATCTCAAGCATATACTTTGAAAAATTAGAGCCATGCTTGATGGTTTCTTACGGTCGGAATTATTAATTTAGGTAAGCCGCACACGGTGAAATCTTGTGATTGAAGAGTACAGGATATGGGCGTGTTACAGCTCTTTTCAATGCGCACGTAGTGGCTCTTAAAAGAGCCTTGAAATGTTGGGAGTATTCAAGTAGTCAAAATGCAGTGGTACAGCCTAAGCCCGCTCCCCGCGGATACGCCGGGCTAACTGGATGTCCTTGGGCATGATGGTGACTCTCTTGGCGTGAATAGCACACAGGTTGGTGTCCTCAAAGAGCCCCACCAAGTAGGCTTCGCTGGCCTCCTGCAGGGCCATAACGGCCGAGCTCTGGAAGCGCAAGTCGGTTTTGAAGTCCTGGGCGATTTCACGCACCAGGCGCTGGAAGGGCAGTTTGCGGATGAGCAGTTCGGTAGATTTCTGGTAGCGGCGGATCTCTCGCAGGGCCACGGTGCCGGGTCGGTAACGATGAGGCTTCTTCACTCCCCCAGTTGCAGGCGCGCTCTTCCGAGCAGCTTTAGTCGCTAACTGTTTACGGGGAGCTTTACCACCTGTGGATTTACGGGCGGTCTGCTTGGTCCTGGCCATTTCAAATAATGTGCGCTCTCCTCTACAAATGAAAGACTGCTGTACTCCGGAGACATTTATAGAAAAAAATCTTCTCTCTGATTGGCTAAAGAGAAGAAGCCAAGCTCTATTGGTTAATTTGAAAATGTGTAAATCCCGCGCTTCGCTATGAAAAGAAATGCGATCCTTCCTCACCGCGAGTATACTCTTACTAAAAAAGAAAAGGAATACTTGTAGCACCTTAGAGACTAACAAATTTATTTTAGCATAAGCTTTCGTGATCTACAGCTCACTTCATCGGATGCATTCAGTGAAGTTTATGCTCAAATAAATTTGTTAATCTCTAAGGTGCCACAAGTACTTCTTTTCTTTTTGTGAATACAGACTAAAACGGCTGCTACTCTGAAACCTATATTCTTACTGTTTCCCAGATCCAGTCTTGCCACCACTATACCCTTCCCTGAAATTTATGATTCTTGGAACACACCAGTATCCCATTTTCCTGCAGTTTCCTTTCTTGCTGAAACCTCATAGCCATACAGAATTCTTCCCTTCCCTGCATCCTGGGTTTCTTTATCTCTTTTCATGTATATATTTATTTTTAAATTGAACAGTTTGTTAATCTGTATACCATTCCCGCTTCCTCCTTCTCTTAAAATTGAACAATTGTCACAAGCACCAAACTCAGGAGACAGGGGAGTTAAACCACAAAATGTTTAATGGGTAGAGAATCTCTTTGTGTTTGTTCTAGTTTGTGTTCTAATTAGCAGACTTTCAGAAGATGAAAGCGCTACCCCACAATTCTTCCCTCTTATATTGAAGGGCACCCCCTTTTTTATAAAGAATTTCTTTACTGTCCTTCCACACTGCCTTAAATCTCAAACAGATTACAGACCGGGGGGGCAGTCTTAAATAGTAATCCCTTGCAATACTTAAGTAGTAAAAGGATAACTTTTTATCTGCATGCAGATGGCCTTCAGGAGCAGAAAAAATAGTACACAGCTTGGTAGACATAAATCTCTTTCCTTCTCCTGACTTTCTTCCTTCTTAAAACAAACACAAAATCACACCTTTGCTCACTTTTCAATTAGATCAGACATCATTACATAAAAACTGTTCAAGCCACCTGCCTATCTCTAATATACCTCACCCCAAACTACACACAATCATTGCTCTCTTTTAAATGTTATTTTTCTTCAGGTTTATGGGAATAGAGGTCTTTAAAAGAATGAGGAAGTTTTGTTTTGTTTTGGAAAGTCACAGAGAACATTCTGAATGTGTACTTAAGTCATCCTCCAACTGCTATAGATTGTTTATATCAGTGGTTCTCAAACTTTTGTACTGGTGATGCCTTTCACATAGCAAACCTCTGAGTGTCCTTATGTCCCCCCTTATAAATTAAAAACACTTTTTTATATGTTTAACACCATTATAAATGCTAGAGGTAAAGCAGGGTTTGTGGTGGAGGCTGGCAACTCGCGACCCCCCTGAGAGTCCCAACCCCCAGTTTGTGAACCCCTGGTTTATATCATTCTAATATTCTCTTTTAAGCAGAAATACAGAGGATTTTCACTGGCTAATCTTTGTAGAAGAATTTTCATATACACCCATGGGTTTCATCCCATTCCCAGTAGCCAGACAGAGATCACAAAAAATCTGACCCCTTTTCCTCACTCAGTTCCCACCCTTGAAGACCTAAGCCAATGTGCAAAGAATGGCCAAAAACATCCAATCCCATTATACAAGTACATTGTGGCTATTCTCCTATAGGGCAGGGTTTACAGAGACAGAATGGTTGGCTCCCATATTCATACTCTTCACTTGTTTGGAAGCTGTATCTTTCAGATCTATTTCTTAAAACATTACAACCAAAAAGTCTTTTTAATATTTCAATAATGCTGCTTTCTAGTTGGAGCAGGAATCTAGTTGATGAGTGTGATGTCACTCAGCTTGTCAAACAATGTTTTGCAAGACCCTACAGCCATCCCTAGTCATAGGATCATTTACTGCAGAAAGTATTTAGAACAGTCTTCTTCTCCATAAACCTTTAATATTTTAAATCCATGAATGTACCATATGAGTTTCAACTCTTCAATGATCCACCCTTTTCCCACATATGTGATATGGAGCTGGAAAAAAAAAAGACAACAAAAACCCTGCTTTGACACAACCTATTTCTAATAGGCCGAAGGAGGATAATTTCTTGCTTAAAATAAAGGAAGGAATATTAAATGTAGTTTTACTGAAAGTTATGTATTTAGTAGTTTAGCCTTCCCCCCTACCCCACAGGAGTTAAAGAAGAAGCTACTAAAATGTCAGCTCTTATTATCAAAGTGTGGAAGCTCTGGTTTGTTTTTAATGAGGTGGAGGGATGGACAGCCCCATTTCTGTAGAGAGTGTGGCCCTGGCCTTTCTCAGCATAGACCACATGACAACCATCCTTCTGTTTAGCATGCTCAGCATAGATGATACTATTGTGGACTATAACCCCAGAGAAAACCTTCAGCACACTCCAAGTCCATTTGTAAATCAGCTCCCAATGACAAGCTAAGAATGATAGTTTATTTTATACTGGAACAGTTAGAAAGATGCAATTTACAAATTATTCCCATAAGTATTTCTAGTGCATAAACATATCTCTATAAGCCTCTAATTAGTTATTGGTGTTGTGGAATTAGGAATATTTTAAACAGATTTAATGAAAGTGAAAGATTTAGTTCAAGGAGCTAGATCTCAATCCATATTCAAAGCCTGAAATAAGTTTGTGTTACTTTCTTCACTTTTAAATAATTTTACAGAGGAAATTTATTCAAATCAAGGGCTTTCTACCCTGTTATATAGAAAACACCTTAAAAATAAGATTTAATTGTAACTGTGGTTTTATGAACAACTACTACCTTATATTTCATAAGGAAAAACTAGTTTTTCCCAACTTTATTCAACTTGAAATTCTTCTGAATAAAAATACCCTGTTTCCTCTTCACTCAGATAAGAAATTGGGTTATTGTGAGGCAGATATTGGGCAAAAAAAAAATACACTCTTTTTTCGTTACTGTGAAAAAACACAAATCAAGCGGGAAGAAGACTCCGATCTGCCTTGCTGGGCGGGTTCCTAAGCGCGCCAATCACAGGGCTTCTCCTGTATATAAATACCAGGCAACTGAACTAGTCCAGCCCAAGTGTTTTTTTTTTGTTGTTGTTTTTTTTTTGTGGTGTATAACAAATAATAGTCACTATGTCCGAAACGGCGCCTCTTGCAGCTCCTGCTGTCTCTGCTCCTGAGGCAAAAGCTTCCGCTACAAAACCGAAGAAGGCGGCAGGAGGCTCTAAAGTCCGCAAACCCTCGGGTCCCAGCGTGACCGAGCTGATCACCAAGGCGGTGTCCGCTTCCAAGGAGCGCAAAGGGCTCTCTTTGGCCGCTCTTAAGAAGGCTCTGGCCGCCGGGGGGTACGATGTGGAGAAGAGTAACAGCCGCATCAAAGTAGGACTCAAGAGCCTGGTAAGCAAAGGTACGTTGGTGCAGACCAAAGGCACGGGCGCCTCTGGCTCTTTTAAACTCGGCAAGAAACCGGGTGAGACCAAGGAAACGCCACTCAAGAAAAAGCCAGCGGCAAAGCCTAAGAAACCAACTGCCAGGAAACCCGCCAGCGCCCTCAAGAAACCCAAAAAGGCTGCGGCTGTGAAAAAGAGCCCGAAAAAAGTCAAGAAGCCAGCAGCTGCCGCGGCCAAAAAAACAGCCAAGAGCCCGAAAAGGGTTAAAGCAGCTAAGCCCAAGAAGGCAGATAAGAGCCCGGCTAAGGCCAAAGCGGTGAAACCCAAGGTGGCCAAGCCCAAGCCCACCAAACCTAAAGTAGCAAAGGCTAAGAAGGCAGCACTCAAGAAGAAGTAAAGACTCCCCCCCTCCTTTTTTTTTTTTTTAGATAAACCCAACGGCTCTTTTAAGAGCCACCCATCCCTTTCAAAAAAGAGCTGGTTCACTTACCGGTAACCTCGTGCTGCTTTCTACGACAGAAGATTCCTTCTTCCCTTACCCCTTACTTTTACCCCTCATTGTGTGTTTGTATAATGTTAACACATGAACTGTGCTCTGGGTCAAAGAGAAGCGACTCCAGTCAAAAATATGTATGTGAGATATACTGTAGTAGCCCCATTCTCCGTAACCCCCAGTAAAAGGATTACAGTTCTTTTGGCTTTAATTTCTTCCCCTTCGCATTATGGTTATTTTACTTTTCTTTTCAGAGCGATATATTAAAAAACTGCCTAGAGGGTGCAGCTTTCAAGCAGTTGGAGGAATCAGGCATCACCATACATTGTCAAAGGGAAGAGTCAGAATATATGTGCCCTGTCCTCGCATAACCACCTTTGTTCATAGGGGCGACTTAGAGGACTCAGTGTGGAAGGAATTTTGATTATATATAGACAAAATCTTTTTCTGTTTTGCTGGTGGGAGGAAATGGAGCAGTTGGTAAATTTGAAAAGCCCGCCCTCTGCAAGGATTGGTCAGACAACCCGAAACGTTATTCCTCTTCAGAGGAAATCCCTCTACTTTCATAGACGCTCTAAAAGTTGAAGAGGAGAGTCTTGATAAAGGTTTTAGTTCAAATTTCTTCCCCAGCCTTCCCGCCAAAGTCAAATTCACAGGCCATTTAGAAAACCTTTTTTTTCCTGAGACCTGAGAAAAAATAACCTAAAAAGGGTACCGTATTTCCCATTTTATTTTATTGCAATTGTTGCATTGTCTCTGGAAACGACATCTAGTAATATGTTATATTAGAAATTTCTACTTTCCGCCTTTTCGCACGTTCTACAAAATTGACGAACACGTATTTCAAACGAGCAGAGATTCAGTAACTTGTTTGTAGGAAAACAGTCTCGTGCAGAATCTATATTCCGGCCACTGTAACTCCAATATTTATTTACAGGAAGGAAAAATAATAATTATGATTATCTGTAACAATCAAGCCCTTTTTTGATTTTGTGGGTGGCTCTGAAAAGAGCCTTTGGTTTGGTTTTGGACTGCAGATTTTTGCTTCTTCCCGATCAGCTTCACTTGCTCTTGGCCTTGTGACTCTCGGTTTTCTTAGGCAGTAGCACGGCCTGGATGTTGGGCAGGACACCCCCTTGAGCTATCGTCACTTTCCCAAGCAGTTTGTTGAGCTCCTCGTCGTTACGGATGGCAAGCTGCAGGTGTCGGGGAATGATTCTGGTTTTCTTATTGTCCCGAGCAGCGTTGCCGGCTAACTCGAGAATCTCAGCGGTCAGATACTCCAGCACTGCGGCCATATAGACCGGGGCTCCAGCCCCCACCCGCTCAGCATAATTACCTTTGCGGAGTAAGCGGTGCACTCGACCTACCGGGAACTGCAGCCCAGCCCGCGAGGAGCGAGACTTTGCCTTAGCCCTCGCTTTACCTCCTTGTTTTCCTCGGCCTGACATTGCAAATCTCGATCCAAAATCTCCTATGTTTTAATCAACGAGAGTCAGAAAAAATGCTTTTTTGCGCTGTCTTATATATTTTCTATTTGGAGTTTTCAAACATTGTGATAGGCTGAAAGGTACTAATTTTCTGAGCAGCCAATGGCGATGGAGATGTAACTCTGACCAATGAGAAGGTTAATGGGACATTTGGAACGCGGCTTTTGTCTCAGAACCAATAACAAATCAGAAAAGTGAGACTTGAATGTGCTTTCATTCTCTATAAATAAAGCTACGGTCACCTTCTTGCACCATTGAAGATTTTTTTTCGTTTAAAGAGAGTGTGTGAGAGAACACAGAACAAAAATGCCGGAGCCAACAAAATCTGCTCCCGCTCCCAAGAAGGGCTCTAAAAAAGCTGTGACCAAGACTCAGAAGAAGGGCGATAAGAAGCGTAGAAAGACTAGGAAGGAGAGTTATTCCATCTACGTGTACAAAGTGTTGAAGCAAGTTCACCCGGACACCGGTATTTCCTCTAAGGCGATGGGGATCATGAACTCTTTTGTAAACGACATCTTCGAGCGCATTGCGGGGGAAGCGTCTCGCCTGGCTCATTACAACAAGCGTTCAACCATCACTTCCAGGGAGATCCAGACCGCTGTGCGCCTGCTTCTGCCGGGGGAACTGGCCAAACACGCCGTGTCTGAGGGCACCAAGGCCGTCACCAAGTACACCAGCTCCAAGTAAATGGTTTGTTGTAAGACTTACCTTCACTTTTAACCCAAAGGCTCTTTTAAGAGCCATCCACTTTCTCATCCAAAGAGCTCTGATATCACTAATTACTGTTGCTTGTGTTTTTCAAATTCCAACAAAGCTTATTTTAAAAAAATATTAATGTCCTTTAGTCTCAGGCGACTTGTGAAAGTATTTTTTCATTGCATATGCTCCCTATATCGTAGGGGACTGATTTCGCTCTAGTAAATGTGGCATTAAGTCAATTTAAACTACCACTGGGGTTTCAAATTTTAATGAAAAATGTCAGTGTCCCTCGCCCCGTCTCAACTAATAGTTCGGTGAGGTGTCCAGTCCTGTCCTCCCTAAGAAATATAAAATATGGCTAAACGGTTTGTCCGGTAAATAAAAATTGAAATTTGATCAGATTAAACTGTTCAGTTCTCTATTTAACTGAAGAATAATCCTAGAGGTTTGACTAAAAAGTTTTGGCTCCATTAATATCATCCTTATCTGCTTATTGAAAATTTATCAATCCTATCTGCCTGAAGGGTAGTTCGTTGCCTCATTGTTTCTCTCATTAAGTTCCTATAGCTAAAACTCAAATGCCTTCTCTTCTCCCCTCCCGCCACCTCCCCCCTTACCTGAATAATCTTGCTATTTGGGAATGTTAATAGAAAAACATAACTTTGAACATTTGTTAATTTTTATATTTATTTATGGGGGTGTTACAGCTCCTTTCAGCGTGAATGTAGTGGCTTTTAAAAGAGCCTTTGGGTCGTTTGGAAGTTGCAGAAGATGGCTGAGCTGAGCAGCCTGTAAACCTCTCACCACGGATACGCCGGCGTAACTGGATGCCCGTGAGCAGGATGGTGACTCTCTTGGTGTGAACAGCACACAGGTTAAAGTTGGGTTTCAGAGTAGCAATCGTGTTGCTGTGTCCGCAAAAAAGAAAAGGAGGACTTGTGGTATCTTAGACTAACAAATTTATTTGAGCATGATGCATCCGATGAAGTGAGCTGTAACTCACGAAAGCGTATGCTCAAATGAATTTGTTAGTCTCTAAGGTGCCACAAGGCCTCCTTTTCTTTTTGAGGTTAAAGTTAGTATCTTCAAAGAGCCCCATCAAGTAGGCTTCGCCTCCTATCGGGCCATAACGGCCGAGCTCTGGAAGCACAGATCGAAAGCGGTCGCCACAAGCTGGCCGCTTCCCTGAAATTCAGGCTCCTGGAACCACCCCAGTGCCGCGTTCGTCTGCTGCCCTCGGCCCCGCCCCCCGCTACTCAGTCTACAAAACCGCCTTCCCTTTTCTGCCACCTCGGTGCATATTTATTTCTTTTATTATATCAGAGGCTCCGTGTCTCGCTATTTTGCTTTCAAAACGACCAGTTCATTAAACAATGTCTTTCCCCCTCTCTTTCTCTTACATCTGAACACCCATTACGCACATCAATCCCCAGAGCTAAGGGGCGGGGATAATAGTTAACCCACAGAATGGGATGAAACGTCTCTCGATCCTCGTATTTTGTGTTTTAATTTGCGGTTATTTCGAGGGTGGCACAACTACCCTTCAGTAATTATTCAAGCCTCCTGTTTATCATTCACATACCCCACCTCAAAAATTGGCGGCTTGTTTACAGTCACTTTTAGCGAGATTGAGAATAAAGGTTTCCAAGTGATCAATCTGTTTAAAAGTAAAATAGAAAATGCTTTGACTACCCCACCCCTTTGTTATACGATGGTGTTTCAAAATTCAATAGAAAACCCAGCAGAAGAACTTTTATACTCCATGAGCATTCAAAACCCCACCTGTAGAAGTCTATGTAGTTCTAAGTATTTTCAGGGGAAATGCAGAGGAAGGTTATTAACCAATCCTTTAACAGCGCGGGATTTTCAAACTAACCAATGGGTAAATCTCGTTCTCAATAGACAAATAGAAAAGCTACTTTGGTCAGTAAATCACCCAGTTGCTCCCTTCCCTGTTCCCTCATTTGCTATCCTCGTCTTCACCCCTTGGAGACCGGAGCTGATGTGCGTTCCAGGAACAGCCATAAAGCAAGCTTTCTAGCACAGACTGGAAAGAGCTCTGCTCTCCTTCCCCGGGAGATTCTGCCCCTTATGAGACTGCTGCCGGAGGAAATGGCTAAACAGACTGCTCCAAAGGCCACCTCCAATTAAGAAGAGTCTTTAGAACCCCCCAATCCTCGTTAAAGGGTGTTAATACTTTTCTTTAAATATATTACTTGAATATGTAGCAAATGAAATAAAGTCAATAACTAAACAGTAATCAAGCTTTTGCTCTCCTGAGCCTTCTTATAATTAATGACTTGTTCTCCAAGTATCCCCACCCCAATATGTGCCATGGAGCTAGAGAATATAAACACAGCCGTTTTCATACAGGTTTCAGAGTAGCAGCCGTGTTAGTCTGTATTCGCAAAAAAAAAAAAAAAAGGAGTACTTGTGACACCTTAGAGACTAACAAATTTATCTGAGCATAAGCTTTCATGAGCTACAGCTCACTTCATCGGATGCATTCAGTGGAAAAAAAAACACTGAATGCATCAGAGAAAAATTAAATATGAAGCAGTTATGCCAACCGAACCAAAGACAGGCCAATAAAGGTTGCTGGGAAAGCCCCTGAACAAGATAAATAGAATAAAAGAATACTTGTTTAAGCTTCAGGGAGTAAGAAAAAAGGGGAGGCCTGCATTCTTGTATCAGATATTCTGGGAACTGTCTTGTTGAGATACGGAGGAGCTGTTTTCCACTCCTTGTTTTTGTGTTATGTTTGTTCTTAACTCCTCGTCTCCTGGTTGACACCCATACCGATAAAGTGAGTGAAGCATTACGATTTGCTAAAAGTTATCTACAATAAGGGGGTAGAAGTGCATGCATAATAGAGAAAGAGGATTTTAACTAACATAGGGGAGGGGTGGGCTGCTTTATGAATAAATCTGTGACGTGACGGAACTGCCTATAAAAACCTATTAGTTTTACTTAGAGGCTGCTGGTTCTCTTTGGAGACAGGCTCTTCTCTATTGTTCTGTGCACTCTTCAATAAAGAGCTTTGAGTTCAGACCTTGCTGGTGCTGCCTGTCTGTCTCCGTCAGACAACAAACCGTGCCGTCTGGGGTTCGAGTCCTCGACAAGTTCTTATAATGAAAGCATAGGTGGCTCTTGGAAGACCTTTTGAGTTAAAATTTGGGTCATTCCTAGGGGAAAGAAAACAACCTTTATTTGCCGATTCAGTAGAAAGCATCTCAGAGCATAGACCACATCTATGGCAGTCACAGTCTTCCACTCAGCATGTTCAGTGTAAGTAACAGCATAACGCATCACATTCTCCAAGAAAACCTTTAGCACCTGTAAGGATGTTTCAGGATCAACAACCAGGCCCACAAGTTACCTTATGAACCTAGCAAATCAGACAGCCACTACTTGCTGTAGCAGATGACGACAGTTAATTCCAAGTTCAGAACCAACAAACAGGTTTATTTCAGCAGATGTACAGAATGTCACAACCCAGTGATCAATTGGGGGTGAGTAGCCGAAATGCATTTGCTACATCTACACACATACAAAATGCTGTACAGAAACAAAGGCAAAGACTTAAGTCTCAGCACACTCTTTATATATCCAAAACAACGCCTTTTTATCTATCACTCCCCCTGATTTGTTGTATTATAATAATATTTATGATAATCTATAAAATTCCACAGTACACAACAGATTATATATCATGTTTATCTACTGACTAGCAATAACAAAGCTATTAATCTCATTTAACACATTAAGTTTCCTCTTTTTTTTTCCCCCTGGTCATGTTTGGCAGGTGTTTTCTTTGTCCTGTACCCAAGTTAGGGACATTTGAAAAACTGAATAAAAGGATATTTAGTAAGTCAAGAAGGTTTTGTTTGTGCTCCTTCCCAAAAGGTTTATCCAAAGGTCTTACTAACCAAACTAAACTAGGACAACATTTATATGACATATGCATTTGCTTATATATTAGCCAATATATGAGTCATTAAATATACTTAGGCCCTTACCAACTTATGTAAGGTAGTTCCCCTTCCCTTCCTTACAGTACCCAAAAGTCTCCTCATAGAGCAGTCCAGAAATATGCTTCATGCCCCCAGGGCATGCCAGGCAATGAATAGCCTGCTTCATAATATCTTAGAAAATACTGCAAAGCTCCTTCTGTTCCAGTGGCATTTAGCACCACTTTCCTCAAGTCCCTTACCACCTTTGCCATGAAAACATCTTCAGATTACTTAGTAGCTACATACTACAATGTGTACAAAGAGATGACAATGTGAGTGGAGGAAGTCTGTGTGTAGTCCCTGGGAGATGGCCTGAATGAAGATTGGAAAAGGGAAAGTTAGTCTTTTTCATCCTCCCTTTGCCTCCACTACTTGCTGCTGTCTGTATGATGCTGATGCTTGATGTAGAGGGAAAGAAGTGGGTTATTGCATCTTCTCATTTTGTCCACTCTCCCATCCACTCTATTAAGAGTCCCCAAGACTTGATTTTTAAAAATCATTTCTATAATAATTCTTCATTTTTGTATGCTGAGTCATGTTATTAAGTCCTGCTTAATTATAAAGACAATGAAATGCCACATTTTTGGACAATACCAGTCGCTTCTGAGAGTTGCTGAAAATAAAAGCCCCTTTCAAAGTGAATTTTATTTTGTTTTCCATATTCCATTGTGGTATTTTCATTTCTGGAAGGTATTCCAATAAAAATGATTTCCATCTGTGGCTTTTTGTTTGTTTGTTTTAAAATGTTTGTCTTATTTTGTAGGATTTGCAGTATCCAGCAAAATCTAACCAATCAGATTTCCTGATCTATCATCTTTTTCCTGCCTTGTCCCTAACTTTCCTGTCATTTTCCAAAGTGGGCACATGAAAGACACATTTATTTAATTCAAAGATAGAACTGGGGTCATCTTAGAGTGCTGGTCGCTACCTAGCTTGTCTATATTTGTTTACTAAAGTATTACATTTATTCATTTGGTAATATAAAGTAATATTCCTTTTGCAGTACATGCAATAGTGTGAGTGTTGATTTGAATAAGGGCAGAAATTATCACTCAGAAAACTAGACTCCTTTCCTATTCCAAAATAAGGAACTCATTCCTCTAATTTATAGCCAGAAGTAACTGTTTTATGTTGAGAAATGGTGAACTTCGGAATTTTTTATATAAACATTGGGAACAATACCTAGAAATTGATGCTATATACATCACATCACACACACACAAAATCAATACAATGCAATTTTACTTTAAGTCTGCAGATCTTTAGAAATCATGGGTAAAACTGATCAGAAGAGATTTTCAGAAATTGTGAAGAAATCCATCACCCTTTCCCATTTCTTATCCTCTTCTGCCTTCTGATGGATATTGTTTTTCAAGATGAAGAATTTTTAAATGCTATAACATTTCAATATTTACTACTATTGACACACAAACAACAAAACTAATAAAATAATTATAAATATTGTTCGTTTCTGTCAGTTTCACTTCAGGCTTACTTGTAGCTTGAAGAGCAGATTATTTTTTCCAGAACAGGGAAAGTTGTAGAATTTGCCAGTAGACATTCAGCTTTCTCCATTGAGTACAGACAAAGAGGATCTCAAGTAACAGGCACACCTGTAAACATATCTAAAATATTACCTCTGTATTAACACAGTAAATGGGAACTGAATGTTAAACACTGTCAAAGTTCAATCAGATACCCCGGTGTATTAATATAGCCGTTTCTGTCTGTAGCTAGAGCAGACACAGTGCTAGTACTAATTTCCAATCAAAGCTGGATAATCCATCCATTGGTGCAGCCTCAGCTTCTCAACCTCCTCCTACAAGCTCCTGAAATTCAGTTTTGTGTGCTCGACCTTTCACGTTTTACCAATATCAACTGCATCTCTGACCTCATCTCCAATTTCCACTGCAAACTTAAGATCACCTCCTTTGATAGCATTTGCATCTCCCTCAAGTTCATGTTTTTTCTCTGCTTCTCTACTTTTCCATTCTGATACGTTTCTGTAGATGCAGGCAGCTATTTTGGCTGGGCCTTATTGAGGCATGTGCTAGCTGATCATATTTAGCTCTGCCTGCAAGGACTTTTTTATTTACTTCTTTTTATGTCACCAGGAAGAGATGAGAATGTGTTGTAAAAAGTAACAGTGTGATTTTTAAAGTGTGAAATAATAATAATACTGTTACTATACTAGCATGAATAGTATTACGCAGAGTTCATTCCCAGTGTTGTGACTGGATAATTTAATTTAAAATTCAAAAAAGTATTTGGCCAAGCTTGTGAGGACTTATATTCAGCTCAATTGCCTTTCACTAATATTTTTTCCCATCCATCATGGGACCTTTCCAATGATAACTTCAGAATGTCATCATATCCAATTAATTCCAGAATTTCAAGGAATGTTGAAGTCACCAGTGGACGGAATCCAATTAACGTTGAGGGGAATGAAATACTGAAAGACGGGAAATGGGGGACACATGTAGATGCTGTCATCTATTAATGGCATTTATTAACACCTTGCAGAATAACAATACTCCTGCTCATCCTCCCAATAGATTTTAACATATTGATACCCTGAATGACAGAAGAGAAATAATTGTTCACCTTACTAGGAGCTGTGGGGCAGATACTCAGTCAGAGGGAGAGAGGAGGCTTCATTCTTTCCTTCCTCCTTAAAGACTGTTCCAAATGGGGAATAGAGAGTACTAGGGTGTAGGATCCACAGAAGGATCTAGCTATTGCAAGGCTGAGTGTCACATCACCTGACTTATAGGCACCTAGACAATCACAGGAACGACACTATGATCCAGAAAGACAACTTAGGTTCCTAGGTTCCCTATAAACTGAATGGGGAGAGAGAGGCCCCTAAAAATGAAATGCATAAAAGCCAGCACACTTGGAGGTAAACCACCTAAGATACCAACAAAATGGAGGAGTTAAGCCCTTCCCATCTCTTAAAGTTAGGCATCTAAATCCAGGCTGTAAGAAGGTATCTAGCTCTGCTAGTGATCCACAAAGGGGAACCAGCTTGGAGTCATATCGCTTAGGCACCTAAAGTGTTTCTTGAGGCCAAGAGTTAGACGCCAACCTTGCTCCATGTGAAACGGCCAGAGGATCAGACACTGCCCAGGCTATGGATTTTAGCCCAGTGGTTAGCACCCTCACCCAGGATGTGGGAGACCTAGATTCAACTCTCCCTCTCTGTCAGAAAGGATTTGAAGAAGGGTCTCCCACCTCTCAAGAGGGTTCACTAACCACTTAGCTATAGGATACACTAATGTGGAACTCCTTCAGTCTCTCCTACGGAAGTTGCTCCCCTGTGGATAAACAAAAGAGAGATTAGAGCTGGGGGCTCTAACCACTGGAGTACAGAGTCATTCAGTCTTTTGCTCTCTGTCTTGCTTACCCAGAGACTATTTAAGTATTTCTCCACAGTGTATGATCATTGATCCAGGGAGAGCAAGATCATGACTCTGTAGTCCAGTGGTTAGGGCACCCTCCTTAGAGGTAGAAACCCTGGGTCTAGTCCCCTACCTTAATCACTTTTTCATTATTTCTGCACAGTAGAACACCCTTCACAGGAGAGACTGAGAGAGCCCCACTTATTCTGAAGTTTTTTCTTTATTATATAAATCACAATATGTGGTCAGGAGAATGAGGTGATAAATTAATGAACCATGTGATAACTTAATTTACTGTGTTCCTTTGTCTCACCAGCTGTCCACAAACAGCCTATTCTTAACCACTTCACCTACTCTGTGCAAACCAGAGCTGCAAGATGTTACCAAATCTTGACCCTTGTCCTAAGGACTTCCTTTAAAACATCACCTACACTTAATCCCACCCTATAGTGCAGTCACATATGCTACCACACTGCTACAAATCCTCATGGAGAGATTCAGGCCTTACCTACACTGGCAAGTTTCTGCACAGTAAAGCAGCTTTCTGCATTGTAACTTCCGAGATGTACACACTGCCAAGCCATGTAGTTCGCAGAGACTGCGCAGTCGCAGCTCTGTGAAAAAAACACGGCAACGAGAGGCGTATAGATTTCTGTTCCGGGGCTACAGCACAGCGGTACCAGTGTAGACACCCTTGTCGATTACAGCTCTGCGATTGGCCTCTGAGAGATGTCCCACAATGCCTGTTCTCACCTCTCTGGTCATCGGTTTGAACTCTACTGCCCTGCCCTGAGGTGACCCACCGTGAGCCCCACCCCATACATTCCTTGGGAATTTTGAAAGTCCCCCTCTTGTTTGCTCAGTGATGTATGCAGTGGTCCCAGCACATCACTGCATGTACCAGGTGATCCCCTGCTTGGAGCAGTGCCAAGGTACTGGACCTCATCAGCATTTGGGGAAAGTAGGTTGTCCAGTACCAGCTGCGCTCCAGCCATAGGAATTATGATACCTATGGCAGTTTTCACGATGAATGACAGAAGGGGGCTATGACTGGGACACACTGCAGTGCAGGGTCAAAGTGAAGGAGCCGCGGAACGCCTACCACAAGGCGCGGGAGGCAAACTGCCGCTCCAGTGCTGTGCCCACGAGCTGCTGGTTCTACAAAGAGCTGGATGCGATACTCGGTGGTGACCCACCTCCACTGCGAAGGCCACTGTGGATACTTAGGTGGCTCGCGTGCCAGTCAAGAATGGACCGAGCCAGAAGGAGGAAATCTTGGACGAGGATGTGGAGGGGGAGGGGAACCCAGAGGCAGAGGATGACTCGGAGGTCAGAGATGCATGCAGCTAGGAGCTCTTCTCTACAAAGGATGAGGCTAGCCAGTCACAGCAGTCAGATCTTGGCAAAGTGCAAACAGGAGAGGAGACCCCTAGCAAAATTCACACCCCTGAGTGACGCAGTTAAACAGACCTAACCCCTGGTGTAGCCCAACAACCTAGCTACTGCCTCTGGAGAGGTGGAGTACCTATGCCAATGGAAGTAGACCCTCCTGTCAGCATAAGTAGCTTCTTGACCGAAGTGTTATAGTGGCCCAACTGCACCAATGCAGCTGGGCTGCTGCAGTGTGTTATAAGTGTAGGCAAACCCACAGAGAATGCAGCTGCTACTTGTGCCTGCTTACTGCAGTGGTGCCAGCCAAAGTCATTGCAAGGTGGCATGGGGAAATGTCCTACTGCAGAGGAAGAAATAGAAGGCAGCCATCCCTAGAAATTGTCAGGAAAGGACTGCAGAGCATCTCCATGAAAGTTTAATTGACATCTCTCAGATGGATAAAGAGACATCCCTGTGTACATAGACAAAATGTGCCACATACCTACCCACCTCCTGCCTAGCTCAATAAGGGGAATGAAAAGCAGATGCCAACTCTACTTCTGTTTCTTATCCTGCTACCTCTTCTCATACAAGCAAAACAATGAAAAGTTCATACGTTTGTCTTATTAATTTGGGGTTGAGCCAGGTGCCATCTTTTAAATTAAGCATAGTAAGGGAAAATGCATAGACCTCTAACCTGAGGTCTCTTCCCCTTCATCGGGTACATCTGTGCTAGACTGTTGGGACTGGGTAGATTATGGCAGAGTTGTGAACAGGTCCTGGGCTGTGGCATGGCTGGAGCCCCCTGCCACATCTCTCCCCTCTTCTTTGCTGTTCACAGTAAGTATGACATACAGCTCATTGTAAAAGCAGCAGGACAACAGCTCAACACCAGATCGATTGTTGCGCTCCCTGGCCTTGTGGTATACATGGCAGAATTCCTTTGCTTTCATACAGCACTGCTGCTGAACCTTGTCATGTCCTTTAGCCTGTATCCTCATGTTCAGAGATATCCATTTTTCTAGGGCCGACCCATAGCTGTGCTTGCATAGCCTCTTCTCCCCACAGGCCCAGAAAATCAAATGCTTCCCATCTATACCAGGCAGAAGCACATCTAGTAAGTGGAGCAGGCATCGCTGGTTGGGCAGTTGCACTCAACAAGGGAGAGCTGTTAGATGTCGTGGTCAAGGTGTGCAATCAGGAAAAGGCATTTCAAAAATACGTGGCAGGTGGGTTTGTGTGGTTGGGGATGGGGATCTCCCATTTCTGACCCCTGGGCAGTGGAGTTAAAAATAGTGACCAGAGCCATCTCAAGGAACTGGGCATTGTGAGACAGCTGCTGGAGGATTGTTAGGGTCAACACACGTCATGCAATGTCTACACTTGGGAACTGGTCAACTTCAATATGTCAGCCAGGCTCCAGGTTCTTAGGGGAAGTGGTTTACTGTGTTGCCATAGTGGAGTGTTATGTTGCCCAGAGATAAATTTGAGTGTAGACACATGCACAAATAGGTTGACTCAAGGTGATTTGTGATGAACTAAATTTGTAGTGTAGATCAGGCCTGAATTGCAAGCATAAGATTAAAATTCTGCGTTCTCTTAAATTCTGCTATTCTTTTGTCTTTTTGCTGATTTGCATCTTGAAATAAAGGGATCTGAAAAGCTAGAAAACATATTTCCCCCAGCCATCACCACTAGACCACCCCTCCCAAAACATGCATAAAAGAAAGTGATTTAATTAAAAAAAAAAAGTACTATGTTTAATTGAAAACCCTTCCTCCCTTCTCCAATACAAGAGGGTAGTGGAGATGGACGCATGCAGGTTGATTGCTTTGTGTAAGTGGTGGGGGGAGAAGTGGAAAACTTGAAGGTGAGTGACCTAGTGGGGCCAAATTGAAGTATCTCTCTATGATAAAGATAGGGAAACAGTCTCTGCACCAAGCAGTCAATATTTGAGGGATTCCCCAACCCCGATGCGTTGGCTCACAGGGGTACTTAAGCAGCATTATCATGGGGCGCCTCAGAGCAACCATACTTTAATGCACAGGCATTTCTCATCATTGCTCCAGCCCTAATCCTCCAAAAAGTTTTTGTTGTTTGTTGATAACTATTTTTCAGTCCTGTCTTTTTAGAGTGTAGGTTCTGGGGCAGAGACAATCTCCTATTCTATATTGGAACAGTATCTAGAACAATGGGGATCTGATGCTGGTTGGGGCCTTCTACATCTTCAGCTTTTTAGAGGAAGCTTTTGCTCCAGGAGCAGAGACAGCAGAAGCAGCAGTAGTTCCGACATACTAGCAGAAGTTTTCTATTATTAATTCTTCGCCCATATTCAAAGCTGAGGAATCAGGCTTGTGTTGTTATTTCTTTTCTACCTCAATTTGCACTGTACAGATTAATTTGAATCCCTGCCTTGCTACACAGATTTGGAGAAAACCCTTTAAAGAAGATTCCATTGTAGTTGAAATTTTATTTCTAACCTTAGGGATTTCATTTCCATGGAAAAAACACACGTTTCTTCTGTCTCTGGTTCATCTTTAAGTGTCTCCAACAGGAAGCTGCACTGAATAAAAATACCCTGTTTCCCCTTCACTCAGCTGTATGATGAGATGATTCTGTGGCAGATATTGTACAAAAGTACAAGTTTTTAACTCAAAAAAAGATACTGAGCTAGGAGAAAAGTCCTTTCTAGCTCGCAGCGAACCAATCACAGAGCAGCTCTAGCTGTATGACAAACGGGCACCAGCTGTCCTTTCCCTCCCTTCTTCTCGCTCCACCTTAGTATGTAGGAAACTGCGCTAGAAAGCAACAGGAGGCAGTTTTTGAAACCCCTTCAAAAGGCTCAGGCAGTTAGAGGGTACGATGTGGTGAAAAGCAACAACCGCATCAAGCTGAGACTCAGGAGCCTGGTGACCCAGGATAGGTCCAGATCAAAGGCTCTAGCGCCTCTGGCTCTTTTAAACTTAACAAGCCGAGGAAGGAAACCAAAGAAAAGGCGCAGAAGAAAAAGCCAGTGGCAAAGCCTTAGAAACCAATTGCCAATAACTGTAGCCCTGGAAGTGAGTTTGGGGGCCAAGAATACAGAAGCTGCAGCTGTTAAGAAAGCAGCCAGGAGTCCCCTCCAAAAAGCCGCCAAGCTAAACGAGGCAGCTACGAGCCCGACTGCCAAGCCTACGCCAAGGAAACCTAAAGCAGGAAAGCTAAGCGGCGGGACCAAAGCAGTGAAATTACTGATAAGGCTTTTCCCACGCAAATAAACCCAACGACTATTTTAAGAGCCACCCATCCGACCGTTGCCAAAAGGAGCTGAAACACCAGGTTAATCTAACATCCTGGTGCTTTCCACAAAAGGCAAACATTTCCTTCTCTTTACTTAATCTGGGGAAGGAGGAATAAAATACTTATTGACATGTACCACTGTGAATGAATGTGAAACGCTCCCAGAAAGTGTTTTGTTCCTTTCTTACCTTAATTGTTCAACCTACGATAGAAATCTGTATTATGAACACTTTTTAACTTGCCAAGCAATCTAAAACAGACTAGTCTTGGAGTCCAATAGCCTCTGTTTGGCGTTGTGCTCTCAATTTGAAAAAACCCGCGTTGTGAAAGGATTGGCTAGTGACAACTACCACTGTAAATTCCCTTCGAGAGACAATTACAGACACTCCTTTACCATTTTCGTTATTAGTCTAATACAGCTCCGTTAATATCCTAATCTTCGCCCAATGCTACAAGTATTAATTATTTCAAAAAGAAAATAAACTTATTTTATGTTAATCGGTTCTTTCCTAAAGTGAGAGAAAGCGAAAGATAACAGAGCTCTTTTTTGACTTTGTCGGTGGCTCTGAAAAGAGCCTTTGCGATGGTTTTTGGAGCAACGCTTTCCGTTTCTTCTTGGTCGTTTTTACTTACTCTTCGCCTTGTGACTCTCAGTTTTCTTAGGCAGTAGCACGGCCTGGATATTGGGCAGGACACCCCCTTGAGCGATTGTGACTTTCCCCAGCAACTTATTGAGCTCTTCATCGTTACGGATGGCGAGCTGCAGATGGCGGGGGATGATCCTAGTTTTCTTGTTGTCCCGAGCAGCGTTGCCAGCCAGCTCCAGAATCTCAGCGGTCAGATACTCCAGCACCGCAGCCATATAGACCGGGGCGCCAGCGCCCACCCGCTCCGCATAATTGCCTTTGCGAAGCAGGCGATGCACACGTCCTACGGGGAACTGGAGTCCAGCCCTCGAAGAGCGAGATTTCGCCTTAGCCCTCACTTTACCTCCCTGCTTTCCTCTACCGGACATGATCAGCACTTTCTAGAAATCAACTACGGTACTATACTTTCTCCAGTAATTATATATATATATATATATATATATCAGGCTATTTAATTCCCAGCCCGCCCTTATAGCCTTTCTGTGTGCGGAGCTAAATGCTTTGTGATAGGCCAAAAGGAAGCTATTGTTTGAATAGCCAATAGTAACGCGAATCTAATTCTGACCAATCATAAAGTTCCACGTGACCTTCATGAAGAATTGTGTGTCTCACATGCAATAGGATATTAGGAAAGAGAATAGTCATTTCCACAAGATGTCCATAAACAGGCACCCGCCAGAGTTTGTGTGCATGTTGTTGAGCTGACTGGAGACAGAAACGTACACAAAAAAGGCAGAAGGCATGGAAAAGTAAAATGTCCTGGTGCCCTGCGCAGCTGCGTACTGCTCCCGCCCCTGCTCAGGCTCTTCCCCAAGCCCCCGCCCCTGCTCTGCTCCGGTCCCGCCCCCACTCCCCTGAAGATTGCAGCCAGGCCTGACCCTGCACTCACCCCGTGGTAAGTGGAGCGACCCGCCCCCAGCCTGCTCCGCTCCCCTGGCTTGCAGCCGGCGAGTGCTCGGGGGCGGTTCCCCCCTGCTTTCAAGCCTGGGAGCCAGGGGAGCGGAGCAGCCTGGGGCCCCAGGCCTCTGCGGGCGGGAGCTAGCCCCAGGCCTGTGTGGGACCCCACCCCAGGCCTCCGCGGGAGAGGGAGCGCTGGCCGGCGGAAAGTGGAGTGACCCGGCCCCAGCCTACTCCACTCCCCTGGCTCCCAGGCTTGCTGGGAGGGGGGAACCGCCCTCGCGGACCGCGTGGCTGGGAGCCAGGGGAGCGGAGCAGGCTGGGACCGAGTCGCTCCATTTCCTGGAGGAAGTGGCCAGCCCCCGCCCCGTGGAGGCCTAGGGACCCCCACAGGGCACCAAAATAGCTAGGGACGGCCCAATAGGTGCTATCAACGTGCCTGGGCCATTGAAATCTGCTCCTGCTCCTAAGAAAAGTTCTAAGAAAGCTTACCAGACCCACTAAATTGACTGCAGATCGCTCTCCCATCGAGTCCCATACTCTACTGGAAGGAAAAGCATAAGGTAAATCGATAGGAGAGTTTCTCCCGCCAACCTAACCTGATGTAGACACCACAATAAGTCAATCTAAGAAACGTCAACTCCAGCTATGTTATTTCACTTAGGTCCACTTAACCCCGTAGTGTAGGCCTGCTCCTATAACTAAGCCCTGGTCTACACTGGGGGGGGGGGGAGGGGGGATTGATCTAAGTTATGCAACTTCAGCTATGTGAATAAGTAGCTGAAGTCAACCTACTTAGATCAACTTACTGTGGTGTTGTCACCGTGGTGAGTCGACTGCTGCTGCTCCCCCTGTCCACTGTTTGCACCTCTCGCAGTGCTGGAGTACATGAGTCCACCAGAGGTGATAAATCGATCCCCGCTGGATCGATCGCTGCCTTCCTATCTGGGGATTAGTGAAGACATACCCTTAGAAGAAGGGCAATAAGCGCAGAAAGACGACGAAATAAAGTTACTCTATTTAGGTGTATACAGTACTCAAAGAGGTTCATCCGCACACCAGCATCTCCTCCAATGCTATGGGTATAATGAACCCTTTTGTAAATGACAGGTTTCAGAGTTCAGAGGAACAGCCGTGTTAGTCTGTATTCGCAAAAAGAAAAGGAGTACTTGTGGCACCTTAGAGACTAACCAATTTATTTGAGCATGAGCTTTCGTGAGCTACAGCTCACTTCATCAGATGTATACCATGGAAACTGCAGCAGACTTTATATACACACACAGAATATGAAACAATACCTCCTCCCACCCCACTGTCCTGCTGGTAATAGCTTATCTAAAGTGATCAACAGGTGGGCCATTTCCAGCACAAATCCAGGTTTTCTCACCCTCCACCCCCCCACACAAATTCACTCTCCTGCTGGTGCTAGCCCATCCAAAGTGACAACTCTTTACATAATCAAGTTGGGCTATTTCCTGCATAGATCCAGGTTTTCTCACATCCCCCCCACCCCCATACACACACAAACTCACTCTCCTGCTGGTAATAGCTCATCTAAACTGACCACTCTCCAAGTTTAAATCCAAGTTAAACCAGAACATCTGGGGGGGGGGGGGGGAAAAAAACAGGAGGAAACAGGCTACCTTGCATAATGACTTAGCCACTCCCAGTCTCTATTTAAGCCTAAATTAATAGTATCCAATTTGCAAATGAATTCCAATTCAGCAGTTTCTCGCTGGAGTCTGGATTTGAAGTTTTTTTGTTTTAAGATAGCGACCTTCATGTCTGTGATTGCGTGACCAGAGAGATTGAAGTGTTCTCCGACTGGTTTATGAATGTTATAATTCTTGACATCTGATTTGTGTCCATTTATTCTTTTACGTAGAGACTGTCCAGTTTGACCAATGTACATGGCAGAGGGGCATTGCTGGCACATGATGGCATATATCACATTGGTAGACGTGCAGGTGAACGAGCCTCTGATAGTGTGGCTGATGTTATTAGGCCCTGTGATGGTGTCCCCTGAATAGATATGTGGGCACAATTGGCAACGGGCTTTGTTGCAAGGATAAGTTCCTGGGTTAGTGGTTCTGTTGTGTGGTATGTGGTTGTTGGTGAGTATATGCTTCAGGTTGCGGGGCTGTCTGTAGGCAAGGACTGGTCTGTCTCCCAAGACTTGTGAGAGTGTTCAGAGTAACAGCCGTGTTAGTCTGTATTCACAAAAAGAAAAGGAGTACTTGTGGCACCTTAGAGACTAACCTTAGAGACTAACTTACAGAGCTGAGCTGTAGCTCATGAAAACTTATGCTCAAATAAATTGGTTAGTCTCTAAGGTGCCACAAGTACTCCTTTTTCTTTTGTAAATGACATCTTTGAGCGTGTTGCTGGAGAAGCGTCTCGTCTGGCACATTACAACAAGAGCTGTAATCGCTTCCAGGAAGATCCAGACTGCTGTAAGAGTCTCCTGCTGTGAGGCAAGCTGGCCAAACATGCTGTTTCTGAGGGCATACTTGTCTCCACTTACCTGAGGATCAGTGTGTGGAGATCCAGCCACGAGGGGTTGATTTAGGGTAGTCTAGTGAACACCACCGAATCAACAGCAGATTGCTCTCCAGTAGACCCCTGTACTCTACCCCTGTCAAGAAGAGTAAGGTAATTCGACAGGAGAGTTTCTCCCATTGACACCCTCCCCAACCCCCCCCCTCCCCCCGTGGTGTAGACCCAACCGTAACTGGACCTAAGGTATGTCAACTCCAGCTACGTTATTCACGTAGCTGGAGTTACATAGCATAAGCGTAAGGTACGTTTAGTAAGGTAAGAAACTCTCCTGTCGGTCCAGCGGGGTGTAGACCGCAAAAGGTTGACCTAAGCTATGTTGACTCCAGCTATGTTATTCACATAGCTGGAGTTGCATACCTTAGGTCGACTGAGCCTGATAGTGTTGATCTGTGGACATCAAGTACACCAGTTCTAAGTAAATAGTTTCTCAGTAGGCTATCTGAATCTGTAACCCAAAGGCTTTTTAAGGGCTGGTCTACACTACGGGGGGGAGGAGGGAGGATCGATCTAAGTTATGCAACTTCAGCTACGTGAATAACATAGCTGAAGTTGACGTACTTAGATCTACTTACCACCGTGTCTTCACTGCATTGTGTCAGCGGGAGATTCTCTCCCATCAATTCCCCTTGTGCTTATCATTAAGGTAGAGTACCAGAGTCAACACGAGAGTGATCGGTGGTCAATTTATCGTGTTTAGTGTAGACACAGCAGTATAGGCACGATAAATTGACCCCTGCTGGATCGATTGCTGCCCATTTCTCTGGCCGGTAATGTAGACAAGCCGCCATCCACCTTCTCATTCAACGAGGAGAACATCACTTATTACTATCGATTGTATTTTTCAAACTGCATCCAGTGGCTTGAAAGTAAATAATTAATTATCATAATTAATAATACACAGCAAGGAAGCTTTACAAAACTCTAATCTCAAGCAAGCTGTCTGTAAACTTCTCTATTCCCACACCATATCTAGAGAGAAAGTGAGGCTGATTTCTCTTTGCTACTAGTAAATAAGCACTTGAAGTGTCATAGTATTCTAGAAGATATAGGTTTCTTATCTATCATATAAAATGATTAATATCCCCAAACTGCTGAAATGAAGGTATGATTAAACTGGTATTCACCTAAAATTCATTCAGCATATCAGAATCACACTTATAGAAAGCAAATTTAAACCGCTGGAATCTCACTGGGCTTACTAACTAAAAATCTTAGAAACTATAATCCAAATCTCTTGTTTCTCCCCATCCTTCCTCTGTCCCTGAAAAGAGTCCTTAGAGAGTTCCGCTGAATAAAACCAACTCCTTTCTTACATCAAGTAATTTCCCTATTTTCTTCTGCATTTTCAAAGCAGCTTTTTCAACTTATCCATAAATGTATTTAATTTGTGAACATGTCTGTGAAATTAGAGAGGAGGTATCTGTTCTGAGGAACTTTCAGTAAGGTGGAATTTAAAACAAAATATGCACAGGAACCAGGATTAGATCTGATTATGGAATCACATTGACACAATTATTCTATTAGTTTATATTATAAAACCCTTTAAATTACTAAATCTCCAGGATGCTAACCTATTTATCTGCCATTGTGAAAAGAAGTTTTGTTACCTTTAAGTATCTATGTTGGTCAATTTCTTTTACCCTTTTACTTTAGTGGCTGAGAAGAGACGCTGATAAGTCTTTTATAGTGTTATAAAAGCTACAGCGTAACTGAATGTGTCCACTGAAGTTTCAACTCATTGGCTGGAGTTGGAGTTCTCCCTTAAAAGAACTTTTGTATTTGTAGATATATAGATATGGATAATCCTGAATGAACTTTAACCACCGAAACTGTAAAGAGTGTAGCCCTGACCTTTCAGGGTATAAACCACATCCATAGCTGTTAAAGTCTTTCTTTTTACTGGCTTGGGAGAATCACCTTCTCTGGATAAAAAGAAAAGGAGTACTTGTAGCACCTTAGAGACTAACAAATTTATTTGAGCATAAGCTTTCCTGACCTACAGCTCACTTCATCGAATGCATTCAGTGAAGCTTATGCTCAAATAAATTTGTTAGTCTCTAAGGTGCCACAAGTACTCCTTTTCTTTCTGCGAATACAGACTAACACGGCTGCTACTCTGAAACTTCTCTGGATACATTTTCTACACTCAGCAGGTCTCCTTATAGAGGAGACAAGCTGTACATTTCATGGCTCATCAGATGAGGAGGTGGGTGGCCGGTTTACTGATTCCTGGATTATCTTTTAGAGCCTTTTTCTGTGATGTCGAGAGTCATGTTTCCTAAGTAACTTTCCTCCTTTACCACATCCAAACATTTTCTAAGATGTCTTCAATAATAAATAATAACATTTATTAATAAAAGGATGTTAACTGCTGGCTTGAATGGCTCTTTTATACACTGATCCTTCTGATTGAAAACTGACATGGGATACTGGGAAAGCCAGGGGTTAGAAGAAGAGACTTTATTTAATGATTCTCCAGCTCCTTAAAGCTACATATTAAATACAGTGTGGTTCTTTTGAGAAAGGAGAAATTCACAATGGAAATAAAATCCCTATTTTTTGTTATTTTAGTAATTAAATATTGCAACTTGTGATAAGCAAGTAAAGAACAGCTACCAAGAGGGATTTTACAGCTAACTGGCTGGCTGGATGTCCATCAAAGTGAGCTACCTCTCCCCCCATCACAACTAATTACTATGAAGTCCTCCCCTCTGTCAGATTTTAGGTTTTAAGGAGTGCCAGAAGAGAGTAAACAGATATTCCAGGAGGTGTGAGTGCCACACAGTCCGAGAGGAAGAACTGTAGGATATCACTATCTTAAAATATGCAAATTAAAGCACAAAATTAAATGAGAACGAAGGGATTCTTCTATGCATTCGAATCCTGCAGTTTATTACCCTCCTATTCGCCGGACATTGGGGCTCATGATGATTGTTTGTACCTAAGAAGAGGAAGCTGAATAATGTTCATGATCACAGATTTGGTTAGTCTGAAAGTCAAAATTCCCGAGCAACAATATGTATAGCAGAAGAAACGACAAAGAAATACTGGAGAGTGCATGCTGTAGAGTGAAAGTGTTTGTTTAAAAAAAAAATCAGAGGAAACGACGAAAGGGGCCACTCAGGGAAGCGCAGGGTTTATGTACCAGGCCCATGAGCTTCACTTTGACGAATCAACAAGGGAGGGATGGGGCATATTTCTCTACGCACAGAGCGGGCTTTTCAATTTTTCAAATTGCCCAATGACATTTGCATCCTTCCGTGTACCGGCGTATCCGGGCTGAAGGGGCTGAGAAAAGTCCAACCATCTTCTGGGCAATTTGAGAAACAGAGAAACACTAAAACGATCCCAAGGCTCTTCCAAAAGCTACTACAGTTACACGGAGAGGAGCTTGATGCTTTTATAGCTTGAACACAAGACTTTTTGGAGGATGCGGACTTACTTGATGTGAAATATTTCTTTTATAAAGCTTCAAACTTGACTTCATTTTGAACTTCCACAAATGTAATTCAAAACAGAAGCCCCGACGCCCATTTGCAGTAATGCATTATTTCCTTAAAAAATAAAAATACAATAAACACGATCTTTCATTGGGGGCAATTAATAGCAAGAAGCAGTGCTGATCAACTTCAATTTATAATAGCACTGCTTTTTGGGGCACTGACGTAACCTTTTAGTTTTATCTGCAGACTTGTACATTTAAATTTGCAATGGAATTATGCAATTTTTAAAATGAACAAAACAATAAATGGCTAGCTTAAATAGTAAATTACTTGTGTTTAGGCGTGTTGATGGTAATGAATTATAAATTTAAGATAAATCATAAAAGATAGATAGCTGGTGAATGAACGTTAGAGGATTAGTAAACTACCTCCTGCTTTTAATAAAATGTGTTTATATTTAGTCCGCAATTTTCACTGGAGAAAAGCGTTGACAGGTTCCGTACTGAGCAGAAACGGACCGTATGAACATGTTAAAGCTCCTTTCAGTGTGAATGTAGTGGCTCTTAAAAGAGCCTTTGGGTCGTTTAGAGTAGTTTTCATCATTAGAAGATGATGGACAGCCTTTAAGCCCTCTCACCACGGATACGCCGGGCTAGCTGGATGTCCTTGGGCATGATGGTGACTCTCTTGGCGTGAATAGCACACAGGTTGGTGTCCTCAAAGAGCCCCACCAAGTAGGCTTCGCTGGCCTCCTGCAGGGCCATAACGGCCGAGCTCTGGAAGCGCAAGTCGGTCTTGAAGTCCTGGGCGATTTCACGCACCAGGCGCTGGAAGGGCAGTTTGCGGATGAGCAGCTCAGTGGATTTCTGGTAGCGGCGGATCTCTCGCAGGGCCACGGTGCCGGGTCGGTAACGATGAGGCTTCTTCACTCCCCCAGTTGCAGGCGCGCTCTTCCGGGCAGCTTTAGTGGCCAGCTGCTTACGGGGGGCTTTGCCACCGGTAGATTTACGGGCGGTCTGCTTGGTCCTGGCCATATTAACACACCTAGTCCCTGTGAAAAATAAGTTGAGCCAGAGAGAATAGAATGAACTGAATAAGAGCTGTACGTCTCGGGCGGTATTTATAACTAAATTCTCTTTTCTGATTGGCCGTTTCGAAGAAGCCGAATGTCATTGGACAATATGAAAATTTGAAAAGCCCGCCTTGTTCATAGTGAATTCCCCCTCTGTTTCTTGCTTTTCAAACTAACTTTCAACTGATCATTGACCTAGTGACCAGTTTCCTAGCTCGCTATCACACATCTGCCACGCCGGGGTTTTTGTGTCTGTGGCTCGGGGATCTGACTATATCGTTTTCAAAGTGATCGAATCTGTATCTCTGAACGTTATTGCCACTTCCTTTCTTCAAAATAAGAAAACTTAGCACGAGCAGCACCACTCCCAGAGAGAGGGGAAGAACATTTAAATCACGTGATTCGTCGAACGTATAAAAATCTCTTTGTTCTGGTTCTTTTTTGTGTTTTAATTTGCTGCTTTTAAACGATATAAATGCCTTATATTTTTCTTCCTTTCAGACAGAGGGCCACCGGCACCTTATAAAGGATATGTTTATTCTGCTTATGTCCTGCTTTATAACCTCAGTTGTGATTGTGAAAAGAGAAGTTTTATAATAACCAGGCGCAATATCTACATACTGAAATCAAGTTCTTATTTAGTTTTATAATAACGAAATAACTTGTCTCCAAAGAATCAGCCCCAAAAAAACCAGGCTATGTATGTTCAATATCTGGCTTTAAGGAGTAGGAGTATCATTAAATAAACTTTCACCCGTTCCTCTCCCCCCAAAAAATCTCAACTCAGTTTTCAAGCAGGTCGAATATATCGTAGGCGCGCTATTCAAGCCAGCAGCCCATAGTCATTTTATTATTACTGAAGATGTCTAATAAAATGTTTGAATATGGTAAAGGAGAAAATGATCATAGTAAAAGTGGACTTAAGTATCACAGAAAAATGCCTCGAGATAATATTTAGGTACTACCGACCTTCTATTACCGCGTTTGCTGTCGGGGTGAAATGTATCTCTGGTCTCATCTATGAGGATGATCCTCGATGATGTCATTTACACTTAGACCAGGAAAAGAAAGACTTTGACAGCCACGAGCTTGGTTAATGTCCTGAAATATCGAGCCCAACTCTTTATGGGTTTGGAGGTTAAAGCTCATCCAGGATATTTAAAGGGCCAGCTCCAACTCCTGCTAATTAACTGAAACTTCATTTTCCTCTTTAGTTTGTACTGTAGCTTTTTCAAGACTACAAAATGACTACTAGCTTCTCAGCCATGAAAATAAAAAGGCAGTGGAACTGACCATTTTAGATAATATACCATAATCAAACTTTCTGTACCCCTCCAGCTAAACAGGTGAGAATGGATCAAAGTGAAATCCTAGAGGATTACTACCTATAGTATATAATTCTATAGTATAAAGTAATAGAATAATAACTGTGTTGCTATGACTCTTTAATCAGATCTGATCCTTGTTCCTATGTGTGTTTTGTTTAAAATTCGGTTTCAACAAACTTCTTCAGAATAGCTAACCTATCTGTAATTCTATAAATCTATACACTGGCCAAATGAAGGTTTAAGGAGTTTACGGCTAAGTAGGGAGAAAGCGCTTGAAAATAAAAGGAAAACTTTGTTTTTTAATGTCTTGATGTAAGAAATTGACAATTGGTTTAATTCAAGGGCTAAAGTTTTCAGGGATGGGGAGATGGAAGGGAGGAATGAGAGATTAGGGGAGAGTGACAAAAATGATTAGTTTGAAAACCCAGTGAGATCTCAGAAAATTAAAAATCAATTTTAGACATAATGAACCTAATGTATTGCTAAGATGTGGTCTAAATACCTTTGAATAATAATGCTACTGCAATAATGGGGGGCTTTAATCACTTTTACAGAAGAGACAAGAATCCTTTCACCTAGACTGTAGCAAATACAAATGCTTGTTTACTATAATTAGTAAAGAGAATCCAGGCTCCTTTTCTGCATAAGGTTTGAGAAGAAAGTTTGCTGATAAATTACTTCGAAATAGTTATGTAAAACTTAATGCCTGCCTGATATTTTCTCTTCACTAATGACATGATGCAATTTGAAAAGCACAAATAATACTTGTCAGTGATGCTATGCTCTTTGAATGAAAAGGTGGTTGGCTCTTAAAAGAGCCTTTGGGTTATAGATTTAGTTACCCAGATGTTTACTTGGAGCTGGTGTATTTGGTAACAGCCTTGGTTCCTTCAGACACAGCATGTTTGGCCAGCTCGCCGGGCAGCAACAAGCGCACAGCGGTCTGGATCTCCCGGGAAGTTATAGTCGAGCGCTTGTTGTAATGTGCCAGGCGGGACGCTTCCCCAGCGATACGCTCAAAGATGTCATTTACAAAAGAGTTCATTATACCCATAGCCTTAGAAGAGATTCCAGTATCTGGATGAACTTGCTTCAGCACTTTATATACGTAGATGGAATAACTCTCCTTTCTTGTCTTTCTACGCTTCTTGTCTCCTTTCTTCTGAGTCTTAGTCACGGCTTTCTTAGACCCCTTCTTTGCAGCTGGAGCAGATTTTGCAGGTTCAGGCATTTTCAGACTATTAAATGTAGTAACTTCCTTAAAGCTCTACCTTAAACGTTCTTACAAAAAGCAGTATGTGTGAAATTTTCTGCTGCCCCTCATTTATATAACCTCATGCAAAAAAGAAACCTCTCTTTCCTCTTTTCCTATTGGACTTGACAAGTCACCCCCTCACGTCTTGTCTCGCTATTGATCAGAGTTAGATCTGCATTACCATTGGCTGATCAGACAATCACATCTTTTTAGCCTATAGAAAATCATTCAATGCCCCAAAGATTAATAGGTTTCAGAGTAGCAGCCATGTTAGTCTGTATTCGCAAAAAAAAAAAAGGAACACTAGTGGCACCTTAGAAACTAAGAAATTTATTTGAGCATAAGTTTTCGTGAGCTACAGCTCACTTCATCGGATGCATTCAGTGGAAAATACAGTGAGGAGATTTATATACACACAGAACATGAAAAAATGGGTGTTATCATACACACTGTAAGGAGAGTGATCACTTCAGATGAGCTATTACCAGCAGGAGGGGGGGGGAGGACTTTTGTAGTGATAATCAAGGTGGACCATTTCCAGCAGCTAACAGGAACGTCTGAGGAACACTGGGGGGGGAGGGGGGCGGGAATAAACATGGGGAAATTGTTTTACTTTGTGTAATGACCCATCCACTCCCAATCTCTATTCAAGCCTAAGTTAATTGTATCCAGTTTGCAAATTAATTCCAATTCAGCAGTTTCTTGCTGGAGTCTGTTTCTGAAGTCTTTTTTGTTGTAATATTGCAACCTTTAGGTCTGTAATCGAGTGACCAGAGAGATTGAAGTGTTCTCCGACTGGTTTATGAATGTTATAATTCTTGACATCTGATTTGTGTCCATTTATTCTTTTACGTAGAGACTGTCCAGTTTGACCAATGTACATGGCAGAGGGGCATTGCTGGCACATGATGGCATATATCACATTGGTAGACGTGCAGGTGAACGACCCTCTGATAGTGTTCCTGATGTGACTAGACCCTATGATGGTGTCCCCTGAATAGATATGTGGACACAGTTGGCAACGGGCTTTGTTGCAAGGATAGGTTCCTGGGTTAGTGGTTCTGTTGTGTGGTGTGTGGTTGCTGGTGAGTATTTGCTTCAGGTTGGGGGGCTATCTGTAGGCAAGGACTGGCCTGTCTCCCAAGATTTGTGAGAGTGATGGGTCATCCTTCAGGATAGGTTGTAAATCCTTGATGCATTGGAGAGGTTTTAGTTGGGGGCTGAAGGTGATGGCTAGTGGCGTTCTGTTATTTTCTTTGTTGGGTCTGTCCTATAGTAGGTGACTTCTGGGTACTCTTCTGGCTCTGTCAATTTGTTTCTTCACTTCAGCAGGTGGGTATTGTAGTTGTAAGAATCCAGCAACCACATACCACACAACAGAACCACTAACACAGGAACCTATCCTTGCAACAAAGCCCGTTGACAACTTTGTCCACATATCTATTCAGGGGACACCATCATAGGACCTAATCACATCAGCCACACTATCAGAGGCTTGTTCACCTGCACATCTACCAATGTGATATATGTCAGCAATGCCCCTCTGCCATGTACATTGGTCAAACTGGACAGTCTCTACATAAAAGAATAAATGGACACAAATCAGATGTCAAGAATTATAACATTCATAAACCAGTCGGAGAACACTTCAATCTCTCTGGTCTCTCGATTACAGACCTAAAGATCGCAATATTACAACAAAAAGACTTCAAAAACAGACTCCAACGAGAGACTGCTGAATTGGAATTAATTTGCAAACTGGATACAATTAACTTAGGCTTGAATAGAGACTGGGAGTGGATGGGTCATTACACAAAGTAAAAAGAAAAGGAGTACTTGTGGCACCTTAGAGACTAACCAATTTATTTGAGCATAAGCCTTCGTGAGCTACAGCTCACAGATGCATCCGATGAAGTGAGCTGTAGCTCACGAAAGCTTATGCTCAAATAAATTGGTTAGTCTCTAAGGTGCCACAAGTACTCCTTTTCTTTTTGCAAATACAGACTAATACGGCTGTTACTCTGAAACCTACACAAAGTAAAACTATTTCCCCATGTTTCCCCCGCGCCCCCAGACGTTCTTGTCAATTGCTAGAAATGGTCCACCTTGATTATCACTACAAAAGGTTTTCTTCCTGCTCCTGCCCCCACTCTCCTGCTGGTATTAGCTCATCTTAAGTGATCACTCTCCTTATAGTGTGAATGATAACACCCATTGTTTCATGTTCTCTGTGTATATACATTTCCCCACTGTATTTTCCACTGAATGCATCCGATGAAGTGAACTGCAGCTCACGAAAGCTTATGCTCTAATAAATTTCTTAGTCTCTAAGGTCTACAAGTACTGCTTTTTCTTTTTCGAATATAGACTAACAGGGCTGCTACTCTGAAACCTGTCATAGATGGAATAATTTTCTTTCCTGCTCATCCTAGGTTTCTTATCCCCCTTTTTTTTTTTTTTTTTTTGGACCTTAGTTACAGCTTTCTTAGATTCTTTCTTAGAAGCCGGAGCAGATTTTGATGGTTCAGCCATTTTTAACAACTGCTATTCTGCGTGCTTTCCTCACTCACACACCTACTGCTATTCAACCTGAATACACACGAACTGTCTCCGCTACTGCAGTATTCCTTATGCAAATAACGACTCTCCTTGATGGTTTACTATTGGGTGGACGCGCAAGAGACTTCTCCACCAGTGCGTCGAATCCCACTATTGGCCAGAGTTAGATCCGTGTCACCATTGGCTGTTTAGAGATTAAGGCCATTTCAGCCTATCAAAAAGCGTTTACCTCTTCAAATAGAAAGGATATAAGGGTAGGGTGGGCTGTGGCAAGATCATTCTTATCTCTATTTTACTTTTGTTACTGTGAGCGCTGTTTGACGCGAACACTAATCATGTCAGGCCGAGGAAAGCAGGGAGGTAAGGTGCGGGCTAAGGCGAAGTCTCGCTCCTCGCGGGCTGGGCTGCAGTTCCCGGTGGGCCGTGTGCACCGCTTGCTTCGCAAAGGCAATTATGCGGAGCGGGTGGGCGCTGGCGCCCCGGTCTATATGGCTGCGGTGCTGGAGTATCTGACCGCTGAGATTCTGGAGCTGGCTGGCAACGCGGCGCGGGATAACAAGAAAACCAGGATCATCCCCCGTCACCTGCAGCTCGCCATCCGTAACGATGAGGAGCTCAACAAACTCCTGGGGAAAGTCACGATCGCTCAAGGGGGTGTCCTGCCCAATATCCAGGCCGTGCTACTGCCCAAAAAAACCGAGAGTCACAAGGCAAAGAGCAAGTGAAACCCGAAGAACAAGAAACCGGCATCTTTACTCCAAAAACACACCAACCCAAAGGCTCTTTTCAGAGCCACCCACAAAAATCAAAAACGAACTGTTATCACTCATTTTCATAGTAGTAAACAATACGTTAATAGAAAATAGCTATGCTTTTACTGTTCTTGTGAAATATTAACCAGCAGCACTTCGGTTGGGCGTCTGGTGTTAGGTACAATCTTCTCTACATTCTTTCCTCACCAGGGTGGTAAAGCAGCGTTCATATAATGCCTTTTTCCCCTTAAAAGATCAAGCTGTGCGGATTGTTACGAGCCAATCCTTGCACAGCGGAGCAGGCTTTTCAAACTTAACCCTGTTCTCACCAGTAGACTAGAAAAGGGACTCTTGTCTATAGGTGATCGCCAAATTTCTCCTTACCCCCACCTGGTGGCCGAAGCTACATTTTCTCAGGCGCGCACAACTCCTCTCTTCCCTCTCACAAGAAGCATGGTTATAGTCGCTCACTCCCCTAACAATTTATAGACGCTCGACTCCAGCCCTAGTATTGAATTTTCTTAGTACAACGAACCCCAAGAAAACGAAAGCTTTACAATCGATTTGTAAAAGTGTTCCCATTTATTTGCTTTCTAGCAAGGGCGTCCGCTCTAGGGCGCGAATGACACAAATAAACCCCTTTTCCTGGGTGCTGCTTCATGTTCACTCCCAATGAGCCCACCAAAGTATGATTTATTGGTCCCTTTCCTGTGATTTTAAGGGGCAAGATCGAAAAGGGAATTTCTCCCTTCCATGAAAAGTACCGTGAGGTTATTAATAAACGAACCTCGTCAGCAATTTTGGGGCAGGAATGGATGGTGTTGGGTTTCTTTGAATGACAAGAACCTTCTTTCATTTCACTTTTTCCTGGGCGCCGCCTTCTTTGCCTTCATCTTTCCTTAGCTTCCGACTGGCAGCCTTGGGCTTCAACGCTTTGATTTCTTGGCCTGGGTCGTTTTTAACGCTTTCCGGGCTCTTGGCTGCTTTCTTGGCATTTTTTCTGGCTCCTTTTCGCGATCTCAGACTTGGGCAGCTTCACAGCTGGTTTCATAGGCTCTGCCATTGTTTGTTTTGGGGTTGGTTGTGGGGTTTGTTTTTTGTTTTTGTCCCCTCCACTCCTCCTAACCGGCATACTTTCCTTGTTCTCTCCCGACTTCCTGCTGATTTTGAAGAAATGAGAGGCCCGGGTGCTTTGGTCTGAACCAAGATGTCCCCGGTCACCAGACACTTGATGCCACTGTTGCTTTTCTCCACATCGTACCCTCTGGCGCGCCAGCTAAGAGCAGCCAAAGAGAGCCCTTTGCGCTCCTTAAAAGCAGACACTGCCTTGGTGATCAGCTGGGACCCGAGGACTTACTGGTTTTGAAGCCTCCTGCCGCCTTCTTCAGCTTTTCAGCGGAGGCTTTAGCTCAAAGATCGGACGCAGCAGCAAGAAGCGCTGTTTCCGACATACTGTACTAACAGAATTTTTCTGTAACTCATTTAAGGCGGGGGACGGGGAGAGAGCACAGCTGGCTCCTGTGGTCGTACACCAGAGGTATTCTGTGATTGGTGCATTAAGGAGCCCGACCGGGAAGGACTTTTCTGCCCGCTCAGGGTTTCGGTTTGTGGGTTTTTTTTGTTGGTGGTGTTCCCCCCACACCCCCGAGTTAAAAAAAAAAAAGTTTTCTTTTTCACAATAACTGCCACCGAGTCATTTGATTTTACAACTGGGTGAAGGGGAAGCAGGGTATTTTTATTCAGTAGGGCTTCCCATTGGATAAACTAATGACGAGGTAAAGAAGAACTGATAAATTAAAACTGTAGCCTTGGAAATAAAATTACAACGACAAGGGAATCCGTCTTTAAAGGGTTTCCTCCAAATCAGGGTAGAAAGGTAATGATTTCAATTTTTTTTTCAGTTCAAATTGATTTTGAAGAGGGGGGACCGACTTCCTCTGAATTTTGAATATGAGAGAAGAATTGGTTCCCTTAACCAAGTATTTTACCTCCTAAACACAGTAAATCTATATATGTAATTGTCATAGGGTACATTTATAGATATTCCAATGCAACATAAAAAGTTATTTTTAAGTTTTAAAGACATTTTATTATTTGAATTAATTAAATTCCAATGCATACTTTGTTTATTAAATGCAAAAAAGCAAAGTAGTTGTTAGAGTAATATTTTGCATGTATTCTCAAAAGCAAGAAAGATTAGGATTTTTTACACCATTATTTATGACAACATTTTGCTAGTCAGAAATTGTTGCTGTAAAAACCTGAAGTTATATAGAGGACATTAATTAAAGATCAAAATGCTTTCAATCCATTATTTCTTTTCCCACTTACATTTAATAGAATGCAAAAGTGCTTTTGGTAAACTACACAATTAATGTTAGCTCTATAAATTACTCATATTTGTATTGCATTGTGAACTGCATGAAAACTTTATACCTAGGGATCGTTTTGTTTTGTTTTTTTATTTGTTTTTTAGCACTAATAGAACATGATTCAGTGTTTTGGGTTTGTTTTTTTTTTTTTTTTAAAGGTAATGAGAGACTTACATCAGTTCAAAAATGAGCTCATAAGCTCTAGTTATAACTAATCAATTAAAGGTTCACAAAAAGATTTGAATTATACATCTGAATTATCCATAACAATAAAAGTGAGTAAACTGTATACTCTGTCCATTCCACAACACAAGCTAGAGATTGTTGATGATAATCTTGGTTGTAACCTGGTGAAAACTAAGCCACAATCAGGTCCTAAACAACAGGGAAGAAGCTGATTTGCTATTGAAGATAATAAACCATGATAAATAAAATTAAGGCACATCGTAGTAATAAGTAATGACAGTAATAAGAAAAAGAATACTTGTGGTACCTTAGAGACTAACCAATTTATCTGAGCATAAACTTTCGTGAGCTACAGCTCACTTCAAGTTAATTATCCAGAATCAACACTGGTTATTTATGAAATATAATGGTGATTTTTGCTTTGTTTTTCCCCTGTACACTATGTTGTGGACATGCCCTCATGTAGTTATTAGAAACAATAGTCAATATAGCCTAATGAATCCCCAAGATAAAATGAGAGAAGTCAGTTAGCACTTTTAGTATGACCCTTTAAAGGACTTCTTTGTCATTTAAAAAAAATGCCAATATGTGAGACATGATAAAGATGTGATGGTTACTACAAAGCATACTCTGATGAAATGCGAAGAATACATGGAAGCTATTAAGATAAGCAATCTCCTCCTTGTCTCCTGTTTTGATTCATCTCAATTTGTGTTTGTTTGTTTTTTTTAAAAAAAGGGTGGTGTAGGGTTAACTTGGAAGAGAAAGGGGATGAGAAAAAACAGTTCCATGTTTCATCCTTAATGTAAAAGTCAACCTGAGAAAGGCTCAGAGGAATATGATTTTAGAGAATTGTCCATAAAACTGAAGCACAGGAGGTAAGATATGGATGCATAGTTTGCTAGTGGCATGGTATTGTCAGTCTGGTTCACTTGAAGAAAAGGAGTACTAGTGGCACCTTAGAGACTAACCAATTTATTTGAGCATAAGGTTTTATGAGCTACAGCTCACTTCATCGGATGCATCCTGTAGCTCACGAAAGCTTATGCTCAAATAAATTGGTTAGTCTCTAAGGTGCCACTAGTACTCCTTTTTTCTTTGCGAATACAGACTAACACATCTGCTACTCTGAAACCTGGTTCACTTAGTTTCCTCTTAAAGAGAAAATTATGCTAACATCACCCCGAAAATGAGGATGAAAATACTTTGAATTGTCTGAGTGTCTGTCCTCACCTCGGGGTATAAATAGCTCATCTTCCCCAAATTACAAAATATATTATGAAAATATGCATTTTAATTTGTTAATGATTTTATCTGGTTCCAAAACTGACTAATGAACCCTGGTAATCATGATCTTTGCTTCATTCAATACTTGTACATTTCATGTTGCTTCATGATAGGTGTACACACAGTCACTCTTCCCTCCACCCACACACCCATTTATCCATTCATAAACACCCCACATGGAACAATCCTGCACCTGGGGAAAGCCCAGTGTCCCAACCAGACTCCTACACAAGCCACTCCCCCCTATTTCAATTAAACTCACTCCCCTGAACTCTATCCAGATGTAGTCCCCGCACATGTCACATCCCTTTGCTCAAATCCAGACACTCCCATGCTCTCAAATGCCTCCTCTCCACCGTTTGCACATTGTCACCATTTACCGTGTACCCTCCTCTAGATTCCAACTTTCTAGAATGCAGGATATGGGGGTAGCAGAGCCGTTTGTTTTTCCTCTCTGCTGCACTTCTTCCCACCTGGCCCTTCCCAGCTCAAGTGCCACTTCTTCCCCAACAACCATACATTGTTACTATTTTTAATCCAGTAGGACCTAAAGTGCCCAACCAGTGCCACAGTCCTATTGCTCTAGGATTTGTACCAACTAAGGCCTTGTCTACACTACAGAGTTTTGCCAGTGCAAGTTATGCCAACATACAGCCACCACTGTAATTAAACCGCTGTTGCATGCCCACACTGTGCTCCTTGTGTCAGTGGAGCACATCCACAATAGCAGCTCTTGCATTGACACAGAGAGCAGTGCAGTGTGGGTAGCTTTGGGAAGGGTTTGCAATACCTCATGGGGACAGGTACAGTGTCATATGATGAAGATTTCTAAGTCCCATCATTCCATCGGCATCCTACTAGATTGCCAACTGCTTTGGTAACCTGCAATCCAGTCATCTCTGTCAGAAAGCATGGATCCTGCACTGCTCTTCAGTATTGTGTGGTGCATTATGAACACAAGGCTACAAGAGGAGCCCAACGGGAAGCTATTCAGCTGGGGATACCTTGAAGGAGCATGATAACACTGAGCCACAATAATGTGTGTTGCTATAATGTGCTGAGCCTGGCATTGTTTGTCTGCACCGTGCTACGAACCTTATAATGATTGCTGTGTGTGCCTGAAAAGTA